CACCTCCTGCAAAGTCACCACCTTAAAACCCAGCACTGTGTTTTACTGATGTATGTGCTGATATTTCTGACATTATTCATATTACTCATATTACTGACGTTAATGATATTACTGATGTATGTGGTGATATTACTGACATTACTAATGTCTGTGCTGATATTACTCCCTTAATATCAGACAGGGATCTTTTTAATACAATGATCTTGCGTGCAGATTAGAATCCTGTCTTGGTTGCCCTGTGCTGCCTGGGCTTGGATGGATGGATAGTGGACAAGTTGTCCACACCCTGTTTTCATCCTACACATCCAGGAAGGAGCCCCTGCTTTCCTAATGGGGGCGCTAATCGAGGGTCCCAAGCAGGTCAGCGTGCTTACGGCCCTCCCCTTACGTCCCCATTCACACGGCGGCGTGTTTGTGGGCTGCTGTGCGTCAGGCAGTGGCTCGAGTGTCGCTCCGTCTTGGCTGCTCCGGTGTATAGATTACCCCTGCATGCCTCCCCAGCCCCCTTCCCCAGGCACTTCATCCATATTTTATCATCACTGACGATACCTCTGGAAGCGGCAGTTAGTTGCGGGGCCACAGGGCGAGAGTATCTGTAAACAACAAACGCTCGCCATTGCATAACACCCCGCGGGGGACTGGGGGGGTAATTCTGCCTTCGCTGATGAGGCAGTTAAGCACTGTCTTGGGGAGGGGGTGGGGGTGGCTAAGTGACGCTCAGCCGTTTGCCGCTAATGAGACAGCAGCGTAAATATGCAGAAGCACAGTTGCTATAGATACGAATGCCAGCCAAGCAGACTGACGGCGTTGGAAGACGGGGTCCCGATGGAGAGGCCGCCTCAGCTGGCCCCCATCCACACACTCGCGGGTGGGTAACCGCCAGCTTGCAGCGGCTGGACGAGCAGCGGACATTCCTGTGTACCAGCAGCTCAGAACGACCATGGCGGGACAGGCAGCGGCATGCTCCGCACAGCAAAGACAGCCTATCAATCTGCACGCTTCACCCCCAGGCCAGGCAGGCCTGTGCTCACCCTTTAAGGCGAGTAGCCAGCTGCCGCAATGACCACTGGAAATCTGCACTCTTGGTCGCTACCTGATTGGACCATCTTCCTCACCATCCAATGACTGGCCAGCATTGTAGGAAGGACTGTTACAGTGTTGTACCTCAATCAGAAGATTGCGATAGATGCCTGGGACTCAAGATACCTGGGACTGACCCCTCTGACAAGCTTACAGACACAGCCACACGTGCCACAGAGAGCCCAGTGACAGGGGATATTACATGACGATCACACCGACTGGTGGCCATAAGCAGGGTCACCTGGCTTTCTGATTCGTGTCGAGGACACATGCTGTTCCATGTGACCCCCCCCCAGGCACCAGGCAGCCTCCAGTCATTATGGAGGATCTCGGTCTGACAGCAGAGAAGCACAAAAGCAGGCACCCTCAAAGACAGCACACTATGTATTTATAGAAATAACAATTAAACAGCCCCCCACAGATGTTCAGGATCAGGATATCTGGGTTAAGGCACCAGTTCCATGGGTTTCAGGTAAATGCACAAAGGAAATACATTTCATTGGAACGTCGGTGGAAGCCTGTGGGCTGAGAGCCCCTCCCCGCTGGCACCCCCGGCCTTCCTCAGCTGCTCCCGAGTCAAGGCTGCTGCGGGGGTGGAATGCTTGTTATTGTTTTTCCCTTTTCACCCCCCGCCCACCGGGCCATTTTCAGGCACAGATTAATAGGCAGGGGTGCAGGCCAGGTGGCTGGGAGGCATCTCCACACTTCATATCTGAGAGTCATTCAATACCTCCCTGTCAAGGTCTCCCCCCCCCACCCCCGGCATTGTGCGTGGCTCACAGGCAGATAGATGCAAAGCACAGCTGTGAAATGCATGCAGCCTCGCCGCTCGCCCTGCATGTCCACCTCAGGCCCCCCAAATATAACATAACAATGGGCAGGGGGCTCAGGTTTCAGGGCCAGGGCCGACACTGAGGACCACACCTGCCCCGCCCGCTGGTCAGAAGCAGCAGGGGCTGAGAATCCAAGCTATGGGGCAGCAATTCCTGCGGGCAGCTCTTCAGGCCTTGGGAGGGGCCCGTGTTAATAGCCATAGTGGTGTTGCCTTTCAAAATAAAACACATTAAATGAAGAATGATTTGGCAGAACAGACAGCAATGCTGCACGATCGTGGTGCCTCATGGGTCAAAGTCAGCTGCTGTGGTTTCGGCCAAGAGGAGCCAGAGCCTGTCAGGGCTCACTGATGGATCGGGCCAGTAATCAGATGTGCCCCTGATTAAGAGGGATTCCAGACCAGGTTTTACGTAGCATGTAATGAAGGCGAGTCAAAATTCCAGGTTGGGAAATAATACCTTGCAAAACAATTTGGGAACATGGAGTGGCAGCTCCAAGCACAGCTTTTCACCCATACTGCCTGGGCTGGGGAAACCCTTTAGGGATGTCACCTGCCGGGAAAATGCGATATGCTGGCAGGAGTGGGCGGGCTGCCCAGTGCCATTTTACTGTAGCGGACAGCATCGTAACAGGCCTTGCAGGGCAGACCCCTGTTAAGGGTTGTTGTGGAGGCCCTGGGTCGGAGGGGGACAGGAAGAGGAACAGGAACACGCCTCGGCTTGGAGGCTGAGGTCTTCACAGTCCAGCTCGGCTCCAAATGCCAGTCAGCGCCTGTCAGATTCAGCCTCTCTCTGAAGTGGGAACTTTTTTTTTCACCCACCCCCACCATCTCCTCCCTCTCTCCCTCCCTCCCTCTTTCCCTCTCTCTCTACCTCTCAAGCTCTCTCTTTTGCAGAACCTAGGGCAAAAAATAGCCTCAGGTTCCCCGAGTGAGGAAGTGAAGAGGTGCCGTTGTTTAATCAGGGTTTATTTTGACATAGCCACACTGAGTTATCCCGCAAAGTGCCACCAAAAGTGCAAGGGCTGAGAGCCTGGGGCCCGACGGCGAGGACACGAGAGAGGGTGCAAAGTGGATAACATGCGCTACTTCTTGTCATCCATCCCTGGGGGAGCAAGTGACCTCTCTGCCCCAAAATAACTCAGAGGAAGGCTCGACGTGCTTCAAGGACAGAGGCCCCCAGTGAGTAAAGGGCCCGGCGAAGGAGGGCCTCACTTCACCCTGACCGAAAAAGAGCGCACAGCTAAGATGAACTATTGGATACGGGCGTCATTGAGCTGCTGGTGATCAGGGACCGAGTCAGAAGAGAGTGTGACGAGTTACTCTGGCCCGAGTGTGGTAAGTTACTGGTGCAAGTGTAACGGGTTATCCTGGCGTGACTGTGACAGGTAACTGGTGCGAGTGTAACAGGGTACCGGCATGAGTGTGATGAGTTACTGATGCTTTTGGGAAGCAGGAGTCCTGTGTGAATGGGAAGAGGTTCAGAGCCAGTAGTCCGATGTGACTTCTTTGAAACGTAAGCAGATCTTCCCCTTATCGGTCTGTGTTTTCTATACATTTCTGCTCATTTCCAGCATATTCCGCTTAGATTTTAAAGCAGCAGTATAATTAGTGAATGGAAGCTGGTTGTAAGAGGAGTTGTGATTTTAGGATGGAGAGTAAATGACGCGGCCAAGTTGCCCATCCTGTAAAGACATCACTTCCTAATAAAACTCAAACTGGGGCCTTTGAGAGGGGAAGTGAGTGGCAGGAGGCTGAGGGCCAGCCACCCAGGCACCTGTTTACGAGGATGCTAACCAAGTCCAATTTAATATCACATTTCCACATTAAAAGCAGTGGCTGAGGAATCCACACCCCAGAGATGCCCTGCAGGCCCAGTCTGAGTGAAAAGATGAGCTGCGGTCCTGTGCTGTCGCCTGACCCATCACCACGTCTGGTAATGGCCAGCTTGCAATCACAAACTGACAGCTGGGGGTGATGGGTGAAATTTTAGCAATGTACCATATCTTTCTGGCACTTTCCATCACGCCATAAACCACCCAGCGGGGTGAGCCACCTTTGGAAAAACTAAGCTGCCGGAATCCGGAAACGCGCCACACTTAGACTGAGGTAGTGCCGGGGAGCACCGGCCACATCGGCACCACCCTTCAGAACTGCGCTGAGCAGCTGTCTCCTGTCGCCGTAGCAACCACAGCCACCACGGTCCCACCGTCTGCCACTTGTGTCTAAGCAGTCTTCTGCGCCAGCGTCTCCCTCCAAAGTCGCTTTCCTGCTCTGGATACGGCAGGCTGTGGGTGGCCCCTTCGGCTGTGATGGAGCAGGAATTGCAGCTGCCCTGCCGGGAAACGCCATGCTGCTTATGGTTCCCTGAGGGAGGGTGCCATCTTCCTGCTACAGCCCCCACAGCTGCACAGCTAACACCTTGGCACACGCCGGACATCACTCACCTCAAATTCACGTTTATGCAGAAAAATTACCCATCATGCTCATCTTGGCGTAGAGCTCCTAAAGTCTTATTATCACAAACCTGCAGCATCCCAGACAGCTCATCGGAAGGGAATCTGCCAGCGGCTCCTCTGCGTCATTGCTCTGCCATCCGAGCCGCTTGCTGTCACTGGACCTTGTCGTGTCAGCTCCCGGGACGGGCCCATGCCATTATCTGAACCCCAGCTGCAGCTGAGCCTGGACCAGCTCAGAGTGACAGATAACCATGCCAAAAGGGAGGGGGGGGGGGTCATAATTGTGCTATGAGCTTTTAGTTTGTAGGAATGTAGGAATTTGGAATGATGTGGGGGTTCTGAATGCAAATGCAAACCACACAGGCTGTGCAGTGGGATCCTCAAAATAACAGTGCATATCTGCATATATCTTATTCTAGGGGTATTACTTTCATCACGGATAAAGTGTAGTATTTTATTTAAAAAAAAAATAAAGATATAAATCTATTTCACCACCTAAGTATGTGGTTGCTACTCCTGTACAATCACCATACCCAGCTGGATATTATGGGATTTAAAGGGGGGGGGGGCAGGGGGTGGAAGGAGAATTCAATGCACACGCTCACACTCTCTCCACAGAGGGACATGTAGCTGCCTGTACAAATCACACAGCCCTGATATTGTTCAGATAATCCCCTGAAAAACGATCCCTTTCTTGCCATTGCCTAAACAGGAGCGCGTGGGCAGGGCCAGCCCCAATCCCGAGACTCTTATCTGTCGTCACAGCAACAGACCCCCAGAATCAGGACGGCGTTTTCTGGGGGCAGGGGCGTGGGCTGGCACGTGTGGGACTTGTCCTGCTGCTCAGCAGGAAGGTTGCCCCCTCAGGCAGTGGCAGCCGCCGGCTCACTGCGCTCGCAGCGCGCCTGTGCCTTTAAGAGTGGCCCCTCGCCGGCACCTCCTGTAGAGCAGTGGGGAGGCGGATCGCTCCCTGCCTTTCTTCTGCCTCAGTTGCTTCAGAGAGATTTCTGTCAACAAATCCTGCCTGACTGCCAGCGTCCATCCGGCTTGTCTCTGCCAGTGCTGCGTCTCCTGGGACTTCACACTGCTCACCTGCGCTACCTCACCGCCCCTCACCATCTCAGGTGCGTACAGCCGACCTTCCTCCATTCACCGAACCGCCCAGGTATTTCCACCCTCACCAGTGTCTCGTGGGAATGTACCTCGAACCGTTTTACTGAGCGACTGACCGTCGCACCAAGCTCTTTACCTTGTGCTGAACGGTGTTTGGTTTAGGCAAGATGGGGAACTGATGGGAGAATCTGATTGGCAGTTTTGTTTTTGTTTTGTCATTCAAAACATGTCAGCATCCCTGGAACTGAAGGACAGTGTCTTTCAGCTGCTAGATTATTTCACCAAGCGCCTCCTCCCAACCTTATTTTTTTTGCTTATTCTACAGTTTTGTTAATAAATCAAAGGACTAAGTAGGAAATAGTTTTTATTGTTTTTGCCATGCTAGGCTGGCTTCTGCAGAACTGAATACCGGAAACCTCAAGTCATAGTTGTTGTAATATTTCCATTTTTTCAGCGTGTTTACACCATATATCTGCTTCTCTGCTTCCCAGCAGCCTCTGCAAAATGCAAAAGATGATCAAAGGCAGCGGTTAATTCAGCAGGTTATAATTAGTGCTTTTTAATATTCAGAGGAGCTGTTGACAGGTACTACCTGAGCATATCATTTCTGAGCAGATGAGGCCAGTCTCACAAAAGCACTGACTGGTACTAAAGGAGACCGTGGCCATCTTCTTCGCAAAAAACAAGCAGGTTTGTATGCTTCAGGACACTGCCTTCACCAATTTACTTCGCAACACGTTTGCTTCCAAAATGGGAAAAAAAAAAGTGTGATATCACTTCTGAGGGGAACAGAGAGTGTCTGTACTGTGAAAGTATAATCATCATACTGGTGGCAATATCACAGGCCACCAGGTCCACATTGCACCTCAGCTCCCTTCATGCGCCCTGTTAACCTCCGTAAGTTACAGCTAAGGGGGGGGGGGCTGTGATTCATCGCCTCATTACTTTAGGCAGCCTGTGTCTAGGTGATAAATCTGTCGGAAGACCACCTGTACGTGATGGCCGGCACACATGGCCATGCTACCCCACCCCCACCCCCAGTTACTGTATGCCATTGGTCAGAAAAGTCCGGCTCAGTTTCCACTCTGGAGGCTGAGCTGCAGCAACCCCACTGAACCTTGCCACCCGCAAGGACAGACGCCACTTCGGTGAGTGGGAGCAGCGTTGTGAGGTTGACAATGAACTTGTCTGCTTTGATTCTGGTACCGAGCGAGTCCGGGTTCTGCTCGACCCAGGATGACTTCACCACAAGGCCGATTCACACTGACCCCGGATACTGAGATCTCCACAGAGGATGTGAGTGACGTCTAGCAGAATGATGCCCCCCACCACTTCCTGAGATCGGGGACCACGGTCACTCCTGTATTCCTATTAAAGGGTCAGTAAGAACAGCCCAGACTGTCTGAAAGTGGGTGTCACCCACCTGTGCCTGACAGGAGAGGAAACGGTTACCAGTGCCCCGCAGAGCTGCTGCAAAGGCTGGGCTGCTCACGGCAGCGTGATGAGCCGTCTGCTAAGGAGCCACACCGCTCTCAGGTTACAGGCTCCAAACATTTCCTCCATTTGTCCTCATTAGCTTTTTAATTATGTGGGACAGGCTAAAATGGTCTCACTGGACTCAGAGCCCGGAAAAAACAAGGGAGATTACCAGGACGGCACAGAAGCACCAGATGGGGGAATGCTCAAACTCATCACCCTCTGTAGGACAGGAAGTCGGCGGGACGACTAGGATTCGCCACCAGCTGCACTCAGAGCAAAAGGCCAAAGGCTCCCATCACCGGCCAGCGATGAAAGCACCTTGCCAGGATTATCACCTCCATGCCAGAGCCGGACCAGGATGATCCCACGACACACCGCCTCTACCATCAAGCCGGCCTCTCGCTGGGAGAACTTCTGTGCTGAAAGGCCTGACATCTCCCTGATGAATCCTACAGCACATGTGCCGAAAAAGCGCCAACTTCAATCGCATCAACGTCATATGCAAAATTAACGCAGCTTGCTAAATAATGAAGTGAGGGTCCTCTCCCCACCCAGCGATTGGGTTTCATCCGGTTTGATCTTTCATGGGTTTGGCTGAATGTTACCCTATGAGTAAACATGCTCTACTGCCTCATTCTGTGCCACAAGCTGGAAAACAAAACACCTGGATATCACTGTATCGCTCAGCAACCATGGACTTAAAACACTCTTTGTAGCCTGGAGACAGTAAATACGTGATTAACCGGTTACGGCCTTTCTTGTAACCCAAGGCTACCATCCCAAGGTCCCACATACTGATATAAAAATTCAGAAACCTCCCACAAATACAGAAAATCTCAAAGGTAAAGTGAAGGCAGTTTGAATGTAATCACTATTACATGTTTTAATCACCAATTGCCACTTGTCCAACATCCAAACAGATCCCAGTAAAACATACACATGAACGGAAATCGGCAGCCGTTAATCCTAAGGTCAACATATGGTCGGGGTATGCCTGACCCTGTGATGAATAGCAGCCCTCCCCCATGCTGCTCGTGTACTGACGGGAACCTCCCTTCCAGACCCCTGTCATCATGGATGCCAACTTCAGCCTGAACCTGCTCCTCTGCCTCCTCTGTCTGCCCATCCAGCTGTGCACCGGACAAGGTGAGGGACGTTGGCGATGGGTGGGGGGGCTCCTTCCCAACATCCTCAGGCATTAAAACTTCTGATGAAGTGATAAAAGAACTGGGGGTCACCCCCATTTTAAACAGCACCTGTAAGACTCTTCTGGGGTTAGACAGTAGAGGTTTGGGGTCATGTTACTGTTAATTCAGGCGGCAACACTGCCCCCAGCCAACAGATCCTCGCTTGGCCATCTTGTCTAAATATTTTTTTAGCGGTGCAGGCAGCTGAGTGGACACCAGGATTGAATGATCCCTAATTTCATAAGGGTCCAGTTACAGCTGGCTGTCCGGAGCCCGTGACCCTGAGCCCACCCCCTCACACGTTGGCCTCCTCCATGCGTGTGCCGGACTTCTGCTGTGCGGGCATCGGGGATCAGCCCCACAGAAACCCAAGACCACGTTCATAACTGGAGTGCTGGTGGGGGGGGGGGGCATGAAGGCCAGGGGGTCTGGTTTCATGGCCCACAGAGTAAAATTAGATCCCACTGGTTTTAACACAAAAATACCCAATGTAGCTGCTGAGTGACGGCCCCCCTGGGGCAGGCTGGCCATCCTGGGATGCTGAGAGAAGCCGTAAGTGGAGCTAAAAAATTCACACCAATTCAGAGTATATATGTGATCTTACTGATCACCCTTCACCTCTGATCCAGTCGGGTCCTTTCGATCACCCACCTGCTGAGGACAGACCTCTCACCCAGCCTCATGCACTTGTTCTACAATAAGGGCTCATACTACGGTGGTTTACAAGCCTCAAGGACATGACATGAGCTTATATCCGGAATGTTCCATGAAGCCCCCCGCCAGAAGGCTTTAGTTGCTGCCCAAAGGCCCCCTGCAGTGCTAGAAATTCAGCAGGAGTCCGAGACACCCGGCTGGTTATACTCAGACAGGCCTGCACTGCACCTCTGCAAGCTGAACCAAACAGTCAGAGCAGCTCACGTGAAGCCTGGCTGGACAGCCTGTGCCCTCCGATTCTGTAGTGGTGGTGGGGGGGAGGGTGCTGTCCTGAAAGAAAAATGGTCATGCATTGTTGGTCTGGCTACTTCACCAACTGGTCAATCACATCCATAGAAACTGCAGTGTGAAGGGGAGAAGTGAGAAATCCACTGTTGCCACAAAGCCAGTGAGACTCCTTTAAAATGTTAAATTAGGCTTTATCAACTAAAAATCTTTTAGTGATTCTCACAAGAGATACCAGTCACAAGATATTAATCATAATTATTATAAATCTAGCTATTCATTACATTGATATATAGAATAATTCTATATAAAACATATACATCAGTCTTTTGAACGAGATGTTGTCAAATTGAAAAAAATATGACTGCTAATTTACACCTCCATTTATCAAATGGTTATAGTAACTCATAACTAATAAAGACGACGGCAAATAGCAGAAGGAGAAGTTTTAAGTATTTAAATACACCATCGCTGAATTTACTACGCCCGCATGCGTCGCATTAAGTCACCCTGGGGGTCTGTACGAGAACTCTTTACGGGCAGTCATGCATACTGTAGCTGGGCGGATTTCATAATGCTTTGCGATACGATTCAGTAAAGAAGAGTGCTCTCCGCGCAACAGCTAGTGAGTACGATTGGGGGGGGCGCACTGGCGAATTCCTGCACGCGTACGGGCACGGGCGGCTGCACGAGCACGCTGCATTCCCCGCGTGGCTCGGCACGCATGCGCCACGCGGTCATCGCCAGATCGGCGCCTGACGCTCGTCCATAGCTGTCAAGTCTCCCGTTTTGGCCGGGAAACTACCGTATTTTACCCCTCTTTCCCGCCGTCCTGCCGTATTAGTATTTTCCCGTAAATCTCCCGTATTATAATATCATTTTAAAAAAATTCCTCTGCCTCTCCAAACTGAACTGTCAGTAGCCTCGCGAGAACTGCCACCTGCAGTAGTCTGCAGGTCATTTACAACATTAACCAGGTCATAAATGCGGAGGTTAAAATGGCAATGTTGTGTGCCAAAAACAACGTTACTTTCACCTTCTGTGACGACTTCAACAAGGATACAAAGTCTGCAACAAATCTGTATAATAAGTCATTAGTGAATGCCAGAGAGCCACATGAGTGAACATGAGAAATTAAAAGAAAATGTGTAATGAAAATAAAATGTAAATGACAAGTGGTTATTTTAGATTTCTTGTACACCTGTCTTAAAATGTAAGGGATACTGGAGCTTGGTTGGGGTGGTGGGATGTCTCGCGGTGGGTGCCGGAAAATTTCCCTTATTTTCAAATCCAAAACTTGACAGGTATGCGCTCGTCTAACTCATTATGCGGAATTTTAATAGCAACTGGTCAACCAATTAGAAAATAAGCCAATTTTCATTCATATGTAAAGGTATAATTAGACCCGACACACGGTACTTAAAAAACAAAGATTTTGTCGTCTAATTTCGTTCTATTCGGATATCTCGGCCCTTAACTGGTAGGCCTATAGACAGCCAAATAGATGTACTTTATTGATCCCGTGGGGAAGTTCATTAATTTGCCTGTAACACTAACATGATGAGTTCTAATGAATATGCACACGATTAATCAAGTTATGTTCAAAAACAAGTACACCCGGTTCATTGGTTACATGGGGATGAACTGCGGTTCATTTCATTACGCGTTTGTTAAAACAAAGTACGCCACAGCAGACCTTCAGGACATGCGTCATCAGCCCCATTGTGACAAAATACCTGTCGTAGTCTAGAAAACATCTTCACCCAAGACAATTAGAAAAATGATAAATGGTACCGATATACGCAAATGATACATGTAGACTTGTGTTGGGTGTGCCGTCAGTTGTTTTATTTAAGTAATTTTTAACTTGCTAAACTTTATTGCAAATTTTATGGACACGGAAACATTTCGACGAATTATTCGCAATACAGTTGCAAAACCCGAAAGGATCTCGGTACACAAGATTTATTGTGTACATAACCCATCGTCAGACAATTAACTACCTAACTGATTATTCTACCTGGCAGAAATCCGCGCGTGCACTTAAAAGCAATGCTAACAGAAATCATTAACGACAGAACAGGTGTTATGCCGAAAAAGGCATCCCTGCCGTAGAATGCATGCCTGTCTCTAAATGACCGATTGGTCGCTGATCTGAAACGAGTTGAGCTACTTTGTCGAGTAAGGCTACCGTAGTGCTAATCAATAGCCCCCAAAAACCCGTAAAATTCTAACCCAACCCCTGACCCCCAAAAAACCCTTAAAAGCTCAACTCGTCGGAACACCGGCATGCATTCTAAGGCAGGGATGCGTTTTTCTGCACAACACCTGCAGTAGGTGGAAAGCAATCGATACGCGGCTTGACCTGGCGCACCGAGGCCCGTGCACACGGAGCTGTAGCAGATGCACTTCAAACGATGCTCTGCTCTCCCTATTGTCCCAGTGTCTGCATACAAAGCATGTTTAAACGATGCCAAGGTTTTTTTTAACAGACTTGAAAAAGCGTTTAAAACAAAGTAGCGCATTTACTAAATTACACGTAACTGCAAACAAAAGACAGCCTTTGAGAGCAACTCAACAGTAATCCCTGCGAATTAGAGGTCTATTGAAACGCTTTAGTAATTTTAAATAAGGCCACTATAAGTGTTATGTTTCAGCAACACGGGCTTGCAAGTACTGTACAGTAGCAACATCAGGGATACAAGAGTTACGTGCGGGTTTGCAGGTTTCTTGGATGACTGAGCATTTCCCGTATTTTTCAGAGGCAGACTGTCCCTGCAACATGAGCCACGGACGGTGTGACGAAAGCGGCGTGTGCAGGTAAAACGAAGCTTCTTATCAGTGTCCCAAGGTCTGCTTAAAATCCGCCCAACAGAAGCTAAAACTAGCCCAATATTTGAAATCCCAGTATACTCCATCTCAAAGAAATAAACCAGCATTTTGCATGTTGATCACGTTCAAATGTTCAACATTTTAAAACCACAAAATTAAACACGATGACGTCACGTAGATGGGCTACCAACTTTGGTCAGCTGACTGGAGTGAGATTTTCAATTCGAGACAAGTCTGCACACACATTTACATGCATGTAACAGGTTTATGAACTTGTAAATAGTCTGTAGGTTTTGCTGTGCTGTGCTGCGTGCTGTAAGCGAGCATATGATTGGTTGGAAATTAAACGTCGGACTGAACGTATACGCTTAGAGTGAACGAAGGACCGAGTTGAAAAACTATGTGCCCGAAGGAGGGAACGAGTCAGTGAACGAGAGACTGCTGAATGAGAGAGGGGTACCTCAGTCGTGACTGAGATACAGTGGTACCTCAGTTCTCGAACTCATTACCTAGAACTCGATCTGAATCTCAGAAGTCAAACCGTGAACGCAGACCTAAAATAACTTGTACGCCGGGAAATGAGTCACGCTGCACGACTCTCAGCAGAAACAAAGGGTAACACTTCAGTCTCAGCCTTGCATTCGCTGTGATAGCATCATGCATGTTTACACTAGCTGAATACATATATTTAGACAGTAAAAATACATTTAGACAATGATAGACAGTAATAGTAATTATTATTATATAATAAAATACATTTTAAAATAGATTTCTTATTAATTATTTTAATATTAATAATAAACCATTACGTTTAATTATAATAATATTGTTGTGCGTTGCGGGGACTGAACGGAGACAAAGACGCAGACGTCAGGGTATCGGGGAATACGCGGTTTAATCACAACTCGAACTTTTTAGGATTGGATCCGGAGTTCTAAACGGATTAAATTCGAGTTCTGAGGTACAATTGTATAGGCCTATCATCTGCTGGTGTAGTGGAATATAGTCCATACGTGTGTAGTGTAGTTGCTGTAGTTGGATTTTAGAGATGCAACATTTTCACGATTTAAAACGATTTTAACCAAGGTAGATTAGCATTTGGACTCGTTTGCTGGCTATGTGATGAGCTGTTAGGTTTGCGTTTAATAAACATGAGTAGCTAAGGTACAGTGTTGAGAAACTCAAACTGTAATTCAATAACAAATATTATTTTCTCAATCACATGACTTGGTTGTATTAGCTTACCCCTTAGCACTATTTCGGCTTTATAATAGGCTATTTTTTGACAGCAGAACAAGCGTTTCAGATATATTTTATGCAAAAAGGAAGTGTCACTGAACGAGTTGGTGAACGAATCAGAACGAATATATCAAGTGAACTGAATCAAACAAACTGTCCCAAAAAAAGAGTAATTTCGCCTATCACTAATGACTACTTATGAAAAACCTATATTAATACACCAGCGGAACCACCGTCTTCAAATTGGGCTTCAGGCTGCCCCTGTGACGTGAGCGCCCTCCAATCAGCTTAGGTTCCACTAACAGTCCATCAGCGGAACAATGAACAGCGGTCCAAAAATATATTTTTTCGCTATTCTTGTGAAATTATAAAAATCTACAGAAATTATAGATTTTCTTTTAATTTTTATATAATTTTTTTTTATATATGATGGGGCCTGTATTATGAAGGTGTTTCAACAAAGTAAGGATTTGAAGATAACAGCTTGACAAAACCAGACAAATGTAATCCAAGACAAACGATATCACAATGCTATGAACGTTCTTAACGAAACCAAGATTATTTCCCAAACGCGTGGACATAAAAGCCTGCTGTATGCAACGACCAGCCAGTCATGTAAGCATGGATCACAACAGGGCTATTTCAATGCAGGGAGAACAAGAATAAAATATGATAAAATATGAATAATTCAAAAGTACAATAACAGGCGAAGAGCAACACCAAAGCTAGAAAGGCATGCTGGCAGCGGATACATACGTACGATTTAATTGATGTTAAGAAAATGCAATAATTGTCTTAATTTCAAAACATGTGCTTTGTGGTTTTCATAATTATTCCTTTTATTTATACTGTAATCCCCCCTTTTTTATTAAATGTTAAAAAAATTAGTCTCCCTTCAAAATAACTTGTGGTTGACATGGGAAGCTGTAACAGGTCAGAAATTTGCCAAAACTGACATTTCAAAAGATGGCATCCTATATGATGGTGCTAGATTAAAAATCACTAGTCTCTTCTGTACAATTACCCATCCTGCCACCAAATTTTATTTCTGGAGATTGTATGGCTGAGTGTTTAATTGTCCATGTGTTCTTGATCATATAGTGTGTAGAGAATAACATATATAATATACAAAAACGTGAAACATGGGAAACCACAGATTTTTGGAGATATGGACAGACTGTTGTCCTGATGATTAATTGTAACATTTTGGCAAACAAACATATACGACAGAGAGGTCAAGTTAGGTCAGGGAGCATATGAAACACCTTGAGATCCCAGTTGGCAACTTTTGCGCAAGACAATACAGTGTATTATGTTCAAACCAGTATTTGATATTAAAGTACAGATGCATTCTTTTTTGACAAACTAAATTGATTTCTGAGGCCAGAAGAACAGATTGCATTCTTAAGACCACAATAGAAAATGTGTGCTTATGGTCCTATACATCTTGATGTGTTTTCTCTTGTGGTCGATTAATACATGATCATAATGTTGAATTCATGGCCTGCTGGGTCCTGTGTTGAAGATGTGATCCGGGCTGGGAGGGACCGCAGTGTGAGGACTGCGTGCGCAAGCCAGGCTGTGTCCACGGCTCCTGCCACCAGCCCTGGCAGTGCACATGTGACAGTGGCTGGGCTGGACGTTTCTGCGACAAAGGTACGACAGAATCAGTCCTTTGTCGCAGATGTCAGATGTTCCTTTCCTCTTGTGACCATTGAAGTTTTAACTGTCAACCTTTTTGAAAGTGTAATGACAGTTTCAATACAACAATGGCTGTGATTATTTGATAGAAATGGTTAATGAATTCTGACAGTTATTAATACCTATATATTAATAAAAAATAATCTCATTAATACCCAGATATCTATGTGTGCACCAATGAGAAGCCCTGTCAGAATGGAGGCACATGTTTCACCGACGACATGGGGGAGTATGCCTGCTCCTGTCCTGAGGGCTTTCGGGGCAGGAACTGTGAGCTGAAGATGGGCCCATGTGAGAAGACCAGGTGAGAATAGGCACCTTAACACTTGGTCGCCCTTCACCGAGGCGACCTTCTTGGGCTCGTCAATGTCCGCTCTTCACTCGCAGGTCTCCCTGTAAGAACGGCGGCTTGTGCGAAGATGACCGAGGGTACGCCGCCCAGCTCATGTGCCGCTGCCTAGCCGGGTTCTCGGGGCCCCGCTGTGAGGTGGATGTGGACGACTGCGTACTGCAGCCCTGTGCCAACGGCGCCACCTGCCTGGACGGCGTCAACCGCTTCTCGTGCCTGTGCCCCCCTGGTTACACCGGTCGCTTCTGCACCGTCAATGTGGACGACTGCGCCAGCCGGCCCTGTGCCAATGGGGGTCGCTGCCTGGACCGAGTTGCCACTTTCCACTGTCACTGCCCCCCAGGTTTTGCAGGCAAGACTTGCGAGATGCTCCTGCGGAATCTCAATGCTGAGGCAAACACACCCAGCTGGACCTCCCACGGGTGGGCCGGGACTGAGGGTGGGGTGACCCCACCCAGGCCCCACCTCACCGCTGCCAGCAATGCCTCCAACTGGGCCACGGCTGACGGTGGGCAGCGGCTGCTGAAGATTTCGGTGAAGGAAGTGGTGACCCAGAGGGGTGTGGCTCTCACAGAGGTGCAGCTCATCACCTTGTTGGTGCTGGGGGGCATGACTGTGGCAGTGGTGGGCATGACGGCCGTGCTAGTGCTCAGGGGCCACTGGAGGGACCGCTCCACCCGCTATAGCCCGCCCCCTGGCCGCCTTATGCCCGCAGAGCGGGAGTGTAACATCAGCTTCCTGCACAGCCCAACACTGCGGCTGGAGAAGAAACAGCTAAACACAGACGTGATTTAGCCCCGATGCAGCCGGCAAGCCGCCACCTACAAATGCTTATGGTCCTCTCGCCAGAGAAGACAAACAGGCTTTAGGGACACTGCTATATGATCCAGATGGCTGCAGGTAGCATGCTGGTACAAGCCCCGGTGTGGGGACCTGCTGTTGTACTATTGAGCAGGTTACTTAATCTAACATGCTCTAGTAAAACGTCCAGGCATGCAAATGGGCCGCTTTGGTTGAAAGTGTCAGCTAGACAGTGAAATAATGATATTAATGGTAAAAATAATGGCCATGCCCTCACCTGCACCTGGCCCACCCTTCTTGACTGATGGAGGAGGGAGTACCATGGCCAAAAAAACGTTCTTTATGCTTCTGCATAGAAGAAATGGGGACAGTTGGACGTGAAACTCCAGAAAATAGGAGCCGGACCCCAAAAGCGCTAGAGATTCAGGAAAATCCATGAAGTGAAATGTGAAAATGTCTTTTTTTTTTTATAAATTGTAAAGAATATATATAGAGGAAGTCGAATGTGAGATTGGTTCTCCTCAGATGGGACATGGTAACTGCACTTCATTTCAGAAGCAATTCTAGGACAGTGTGTGATCAAGCAGGGACTGCAAAGCCACGCCGAGTATAAACAAGTTTCTCTGCTGTCACAGGCAAGCCAGTAACCTCATTAACAAGACAGTAATGTGCGCATTACCAATTATATCCACGGTCTGTCAAATATCCAAATTGCTAAACAGGACCAGAGGAAGCAGCAGTAGAAAGTTAACAGCCAGTCCGCAGTTTAGGGTTAAAAGCTTCCAGAAAGAAAAAAAGTTGCCAGCCAAGATTTAATATGTATATTAGTTGGTAGCTAAAGTTGTGTACTTAAATTTCAGGTTTATAAATAGACCCCATCATATGAATCCAGACAATTTATATATATATATATATATATATATATTTTTTTTTTTAACCAGCGGTTTATATATTCTTGTCTTGTGAATTATTTAATGAATTCATTCATGTTTTATACAGCCATTAATGGAGATGAGGACTGATTGCACTTGTGGTGTGATCCACTTCTGCCTGTGCAAACGGACCGATGGCAATTAAGTACAAACGAGTGTGGGGGTATTTGTAGGGTCGGTCACATGTCAATCCGCATGTCTGCAATTGTCCACACTCCTGTTGTAGATTTGCTATGTTGTATTTAAATCGTAAATGTAATTTATTGGCGTAATTTATTTGTGAGACTTGTTTATGGAGTATACTGCAGTGTGTCCTATTTTTGATACTGAATGTGTTCATTATAACTGTGAACTGTGTGGGGTGGTGTCTGTGTCCACTGTTAATTGGTAAACAGCATGCCATTTACAAGCTGAGCTAAGGCCCGAACTTTGTATTAATGGCTACTCTGTGATGCAAGTTAACAGGTATCTGCGATGCACAGGTTAGCACTGCCCCCTAGTGGCGAAACAATGAATAAAAATAAAACGTTGCGGGAGGGATGCAAATCCTGGGAATTCAGATAGCTGAATTATTTTAGTGCATCCACGAGCCTGTTTGATGTATTACTTGAAGAGTAGGTTATTATATGTCTTATATTTATTTTTATATATTTAATATATATTGTTAAACTTACCATAGGTTGGCCTTTGACATCACCTGGTATAAACTCAAACCCGTGCGTATGTAAGTGATAAAAAGTATGAATGGAAAGTAGGAACAAAACAGCATTCTCCACCAGTTGGTAGTGCATTATAAATTTCCAAAATCCCCATGGAAATTTAATTTTTTTTTCCATAATTTCCCCACCGTTTGGCAACCCCATACTGCAGGTCAGATGACTCCCTAAGACTGACCCGGCAGACCCACTGCATGGCCACTGTTAGCTCTCAGCCAATCAAGATTTACAATATTTCAAATGAAGTGTAGGTAAGAAGCCAAAATCCAGTGATCCACAGGAAGTTGTTTGAACGGATTCTTCTGTATCCTGACAGGTGTCACTAAGCTGTAAAATTACAACACAGGCAGGAGATCATGTTTCCCCTTTTCCCTGATACAGGCTGATCAGTTTAGACTAGAAGATCACCCACCAGACACACTTAAAACTGGCCATTCAGAATACACCTGGTGCTAAAATTGATTTTTCTGTTGTCTTATGGCTTCAGCTGCCATTTATTTACTTACATTTTATTGATCAAACTAATCACACATGTTCAAAGCAACTTTCAGACCTCTATATGCCCAGTTCTCCTGAGTCACCCCTGGGCCTCCTAAGGAAACACCAGGGTGGCTGCAAGGGAAATACAGGATGTGTTATCCTTTATCAGACATGTCTTTGAATATGAAAGCAGAATTTTGAAACATTCAAGCCGCACCACAACACCCCACCACCAAAAACCAAAAGCTTGTTAAGTCAGTAGGAAATAAACTCTTCATCATTTCCATAAACTTAGGAATAAAAAGGGAAGAGGTCTCAAATTAACCAGAAAAAACACAGGTAACCAAGAATTAGCACCACCAACCAGGGTTTTGGAACTCAGGCTGTTGCTTGGCAACCAGGAATTCACAGAACATTATCGGCACAATAAACATCTAGATACTCTTCATCTGTTGAAGCTAAAAACAGTCTTACCTTGTTACTCCACATAGATTCTCTGAATATGTCGCTGTTTCACCATCAATGTCCCTGTGCTGCAGTCTGGGATTTCACCCTGATCTTTTCACTCCTAGGGATGAAATCCGACCCTCACTCCCCCTAGCCTGACACTATATACAGCATGGGAAATGGCATCAAACCTGGGAATAACTGAAACAGGAGTCCCTCACTTCCTGTGGGGAAAAGCGGCTACCAGTCATGACATATCAGCAAACTCAAAATAACTTTTCTCCATTCTTTAGAAATCAAACTATACTCGACTGGTATGTAGTAGGTCTCATTCTCACATTCACACTGGTAAATTTATACTCAGCTGGCAAAGAAGAGAGCAAGACAATAAGGTTGAATACTGTTGTGATATGATTTTAAATCCATTTCTGGATCAAAGAATTCCAGCTTTTAATTCTACATTTGCAAAGATATGTGGTGTTTATCACAAATTTAATAAAGTGATGCGTTTCAAACATGCAGTACTTTATTGATCAGAATCAGTATTCCAAGGCATTAGGGAGAAAGTGGTTTATTGGTTCACTTGTACTAGAGGGGCAGGGTACTAAAATAGTGCACAAGCCTAAGAAAGACACTTCTTTTTCCGAGTAACCTTCTGGTACAGAAATATTAAGCTCCCATGTAGTTAGTTTTTTGGATTTCCATTAACATCAGCAGCTGTTGACAGCAGCTTAATAATTAAACAGAAAGCTTGTCTTTGTCAGATGTTCACCTAAAATAACAACATTCAGGTCTTGGAGCAGGAGTCACTGAAGAAATCATCCAGGACTCTCTCCACTTCGTCCTCCTGGTAGTCCCGCAGTTGGAAGCATGAATTTGGAGACCCATCATCAGCTCCACGGATCATTGCAGAGAGCACTAAGAGGAGAGACAGCATCAAGACATACCAAATCTCACAAGCTAGCAGAGCTCACCGCCACTAATATTGCTGCATGAATTGTAATGTATGGCAAACCAAAGTACAGACCGAGTTATTTATTAAGCTAGCATTTTAGGTTAAGCTCCTCGAATCCAGGTTAAGTCTGAAATGAGAACGGAAAAACACTCTGGAGGCTCCCAGCACTAAGGAGCTTGGCATGCCACTAACAGCACAATAACAATCTTAAGAGTCACAACCACACTACATCACACTACTGTAAACAAGAAGAGTTACACTTAATATTTTAAACTTACTATACTGTATTTATTCTACATGCACCTGTTTCCGAGTCAGAGATGAATATTACGGTTGGATTAGTCTTTCCAATACATAGACGGCCCATTTAATCTGATATTTTAGTCACTTAAGCTATTCAGCCAGCACAAATGCGGCTAAAAGAGAAAATTGACAAATTACTCCACATGCAGACAGAAAGGAATAGCACATAATATGCCCATACCTACAATTGAGGACACTGAGGTCAAGTACTCAATATTTTTACTGCAACTCAAATAACTGGAAGGTTGCTGGTTCAAATCTCGTGAATGCTCAGAGTGATCCTACTCCCTTGGGCCCTTGATAAGGGTATGACATTAATCCTCCAATTTACAGGGAATAACTTGGGCATTGGTGACAGGATTGGCACTCCAGCCACCAGAAAAAACCTCACACTGATCCATTCGGAGAAGTGTTGTGCTGAGGTATCACCCGCCACATGGCTGCATTCAGGTTCTCATCCTCGAGGTGGTTTGTTCGTGTGGTGGATGCCACAGCTCAATGTGCCAGCAATGCCAGCGCAAAGCCTGTCTTTACTCGGAAACCCAGGGTGACCCTACCTCGCCCACAGGAGGGACGGAAGAGACATAGTATCCTCTTGTTCATGGCAACAGCTCGGCCAAGCTCATACCCAACTCCAAGTGAGGGCTGCGTCACCTCAGCAACAACAACTGTAAAACATCCTCCTTTTTAACACAAACTACTGTGCTTGTAGTATATGATTAACAATTCCACTAGTGATTTAAAACGTTTATAATATCTTCCTATTGAACATAATTGGGTTAAGTGGACATTTCTTTTTCATAACTTAAAACTATACCTGCTTGATTCGTGACGTCCCTTAACTACGCGCCACCCAAATAAAAACATGAACTGCACTGTATGTGTCTATCTACATTAGGGATGGCCAGTCTTATCCATGAAGGGCCGTTGTTTATGCTGGTTTTTGCAGCAGCTCTCTAATTGGATTACTAAAGAGAGGACTGATTGGCTGAAAAGTCCTCACACCTGTGATTGAACAGCTGAACAAAGGGTTATTCCAATAACCTGCAAACACACTGGTCCTTTGCGGATAAGATTGTCCTCCCTGATCTACAGTTAATACAAAATCACACGAAACATGTGACCGACGAGTACCCTCACTATCGGACGTCGTGAGCCACTGGACATCTCTGTCGTGGATTCCTTTGTCTCCTTGCACACCAGCATTTTCGCCTGGAAATGAAAGAATGCAAAATGCATTACAAATGGCCCAAAACTCACGCAATACGGATGAGATGAAAATGTGTGAACATTTACCCATTTCGGAAATATCACTCCGACTGACATGTTCCGTCAACACTTGCCCATAGCTCTGTAATTTGTGCACTATTCTCTGATATAAAACTATATCCTGTCTTCCTCCTCGGATGCTTCCACAGAAATATATACGCATTGTTTTAGATCTCGAAACTATCTCATCTACAACTCCACACCATCAATCTTCGCGCCTACCATCTCTGCTTTCGCAATCACCTTAGGGACCCAACATTTCAAAATAAAAGTCCCTCCAACGTTTCCATTTCAAACTACCTCCGCGTATCACATAGCGCCAATGCATGACTGCTATAGTTACTGTAACAGGAATCGTTGTAGGCTGCGTCCTTTGAAGGTTCGGCAATGGATTTTGAGATTTCGGCAAGAGAATAGCGCTTTTCTGGGCTGAATTTGAAGGAGCCTTCGAAATGGGACGTCATTGTCGCGCTGCTGTGACATATTCGATCTTCGAATGCAGTCTTAGAATGATACAACACCTGAATTCGGACACAGCTCACAAGTACGATCTTCACGTTCTTAGTATTGATAAACACTCCTGTAGTGAAACGCCAAGCACTTCCGGTCAACGTATCCGACGTATCGGCGTATGAGCGTAAGCGAGACGCTTCCGTCAATAGAGGTAGCTGACAGCTATGTTGATAGTTAGCGTTTAGCTAACAAATGTTTTTTTCTAACCTTTCATCATAAGAAATAGGTGTACGGTATGGGGCTTGACAATCACATGCATGCTTATGTCTGTTAAGTGCTGTTATTAAGTTCTCTTATTAAAAAAATGTTTGGTGTTATTCTGTAATTTTATGTAGGCCTCCTGAGTTGATAGGCATATTAGCAAGGTTTCAGTAGGGGTGTTACCTGTTCAGTTAATTGATACTTTTATTAACTAAATCTTTACAATTTATGCAACTGATGCTTGAATAATGAGAATCGCAGTGTCGTATACAGATTAAGTAACACCGGGGTTTTCTATAGCTCCTTTCCGAGGGCTGCAGCTAATCCGGCAGCCGTGGATGGAAGTGCAGAGAGCCGGAAAGATGGGTCCTGAAAGAGTCTTACCGAACTCCGAAGAAGAGCTGGGCCATGAAAGGCTGTCGGACGGGGCAGACTCAGAAATCGGCGGAGAATGGAGCGGCGAGGAGCCCGAGGAAGACGAAGGCGGTGCGGGAGAAGATGAGGACGGGGGTGGTTACTACTATCAGCCCCTGAATCAAGATCCAGATGGTTTGTCGAGTTCGACTCAGATGGATTTGCCCGAAGAGCTCGGCACACACGCTGAACAGCTGCAGAACGTTCAAGAAAGAATCGAGGTAACCGCTGTACATAACGTAAAATGTATGCCGTGATGCCGCAGTATCAGAGTGATTTTTACAGATACGTATCTAAAAATCTTAATGGTGCCCGGTCGTTTCACCATAAATGTTTATCTTTGCGGGTTCTCACAGTTAGGTAATTTATCCACCAGACACTGGAAATTGGGTAGAGTCGCGCCAGAATATAGATGTAAACTCGTGCATTTCTATATGTGAAGACATGTGGCTTTGCAATCCGTGCTTTCCAGGCTATGGGTCTCTTCCTACCACAGCCCCCAGTGCCGGACAGTGACGAGGAGGAGGATCCAGAAGGTGCAGCTGCAAGGCACAGTCGAAGTTCCATTCCCATGGATGCAGGTGAGCTCTCTCCTGCTTCCCCCATATACATGTAGCTTCTAGTCCATAATATACAGCTGTGATTCCATGTTCCCATGGCTCCATAGTGACAGATGACACCCATCTGTTGATCCAATAGAACAAGCCTTGACATGTTACAGCTGAATGTGGGAAGTTGGTGGAAAAAAAAACACATTGACAATTTATAAAATGTATATAAAACTTGATTCAGGACAGGGTGTGAACTAATGTATTCATCCTCCTTTCATGGTCAACCCTTGACGTACCCCATCTCATTACAGCTGCAATACTCATGTTAGTGGTGCTGATTTGTACAGGCCTTCAGTTTCATATGGATATCTTTTTTAATACATACATTTTTGTAGACGTGTTTATATAGCATTTAGCTTCAAAATTGCTTCAACAGATCATGTAGAGTTGGTGAAGAGGACCATGGCAGCAGTGAATCTGCCAATTCTGGCCATCCCTACTTGGGCTCAGGAGATTTCTGATGACCAATGGAAGGACATGGTCCAGCGGACCCTCCAGTCCAGACAGAGTTCAGCCAGCCTGAGGCTGGAACGCAAGTGAGGGGGATTTTGAGAGGCAGAAGCTGACCATGCCAGATCTAAGAGCTCCACTGTTTCCTGCCCTAATGATAAATGTTTTATATCTCCTAATACCAAATGTCTTCTTGTATGTACGTAAGGTGACTCGACCAGTCACAGTCTTTGTCTTCCTTGTTATGTTGATTTGAGTCAGTAGTGCTTTCTTTAGAACACAGAGTAATATGCAAGATGCCTTGTGGGAAAGGCTCTGTGAAGCAGACAGCTGAGATCAATGTGCTCCATTTTGACTTGCCTCCATCTCCCACATTCCCATTGGTTGTGATACATTTCCTTTTGGTTCAGTTTGTACTGATTCATGTTGGTACCCTGGGCCGTGGCATTTTGTTCCCAGGGTCTATTTATTGACCATTTCTTGGTATCAAGAGCAGAATTTTATCATAAGGGCAAATTTGGCTAAGTTTGACAAGGTGGGTTCAACCAAATAAAAATACTGACCCTAAACCAGACTGGACTGTTACATTATCAGTAATATGTGTCACGCAGCAGGCAAATTAGTCATATCTACACTGTTTGTGACCTTGTAATCGATCAAGCTAACCCATTACTCCATTTTCGATAAACTGGGGATAATATTTTGCCACTTCTTGTTTCAAGAGACTTTATTTTGTTCTGTACATACATGAACATCTGTACAAAATGACATTTCATACTATGTAATGCTCTACCTAATTAAAGTACAACATATGTACATATGACCTGGAAAGCAGCTTAACATTAGTGTGGGTACTGGGCAAGGGGTGGGAGGATCCTGTGGGGGAGACCCTTTCATTCAAATTGTCCTCTTCATTTAGACAAGAGCTGCTGGACAGAGTGAGACCTCTCAGATGCTAAGGAGTGTCCCATTAATGCACTGTCAGACACAAAGTTTCAATGGAGCCTAACCACTTATCTATGTTATGCAAAATATAACTATTTGACAGCAAAATACGTTTTTTAACTTCAGTCACAGGCCACTGCAGGCATTCACTAAATGAAGCAAGGTAACAGGGTTTATTTCCCATCCCACAGATGATATGGCAGAAAATGACTGAAGATAATGTCTACTCTGCTCAACAGTAGTTGCAGAGATAAAGCAAATAAAATTAAATGCTCATAAGATCAAAAGTTCATAGCCCCAGTGCTATGTTGTATTTATTGAATTTAAGGAGGTGTATCATCAATTAGCATTACTTATTTAGAGATTATTCAGTCTTAATGGGTGGGGATCCTACAGCTTCGGTCACTGTGTCCAGCAGCACCTCATGTGGATAATAATTCCCCACCTAAGCAATGGTTTAGGGACTGAGGTTCCAGGGTCGGACCCTGCAACCAAGTGGGCATGTTGTGCAGCTAGGCTGAGGTCGGTGTGACGGACGGGCCCAGATTGGGTGTGTGTGACAGGAAGAGCTATGAGCATCAAGGTAATGGACGGGCCATGGGGTGGTGCAACCCTAAGCAATATACATACAATATATAAAACACAAATATCAGCAACAATAACTGCAGGCTTTCATTTTTTCCCCATATTATGATCCTGAATAGTAAGCATGTACTCTCGGTATATAGTCCTAATAAGAGGATTGTATAGCACTCTTCCATACACCAATGCTTTTTTTTTTGTATTTCATTTTCCTGAAATATTGCTTAGGCACCTCAGCAAAATTGTAGATCACATTCTGAGAGCCTAAATAAATCAAGCAGGTCTTGGGGGTGGGGTGGGGTGGGGGAGGGCATTTGAAATGAGTAGATATTTCCTAATTAGTTTTTTTTTTTTTTGTCTTTTTTTGTTTGTTTTTTTAAACTGTACTAACATTTTCCTTACCAAAACACCAGGGAGACTTGGAGGCTTTTCATTGAAAAGGAAGAAAGAAATGTGTACAAAGAGGTCCTGAGGAAGAATAATAAAAAGAAACTGCTTAGCCACAGTAATACTTATGGACATATATAAAAAAGAAAAACATAACAATAAAAAAGTGAAATGAGGTTACAATATCATGGTTTCAAAGCCAAAAAAGAGAGGATGCAGTTATATATGTCTATAAGCTGGACCGGGTTGGTCTCCCTCCCCAGACTCCCAACGAAGTCAGGACCATGCTGACATGCAGCCCCTTCCCAGACACACCAAGACAAAATCTGGACTGAAGTGGACCAAAGCTACTCCCCCAGGGCAAACTGCACAGAAATTTTGGAACATGTTGGGAAAAAGACAAGGTCATCTGGATATATGGGAGACGCGCCATTTCTCGCCCAAGGAAACTGCTCTGTTGATTCTGCATTTTTGGTCAAGTGAAATTTAGCATGAAATGAAGACGTGAAGCCAAACCAAGGTGGTCAAACAGCTACGAGCAATGCAGGGCTGGCCGGACTGGTGTGTGTGTGTGGTGGGTAATTCGATTTCTAAGGAGGAAAGAATGCTGTGTGTAGTCAGGTGTAGCTAATGTGTTTCCAAAGACATTCTCCAGAGGGGTCAGGTAAAAGTGACACTGAAATCTCATTGGCGCCACCTAGAGATGTGTGCTGGGACACCAGGAAGGAAGGGGAAGATAATGCAAATGTCCTGAAGCAGGAGAAACAACTGGCACCGGAGATGTAGACACTGAAGAACCCTATAAGACATGGCCTCCACCATCAGCTTTACAATTCAGAATGCTGTCATCAAAGATCACTTAAACTACCCCAGCAGAGGCAGGAGGAAGAAAGCCTTGATATCATGGTTCACAGAGACACACACAGATAAGATGTGCAAATACTAGGAACCACCAGTACATCACCTGCCAGCCCCACAAGTTACAGATCAAGGGCCCCTAACTGTGGTACATGTAGCATTATGGGAAACTGTCATATAAAGACCAAACTCTGGTACTGTCATGTGGCTTGTAACGCCCATTAGTGCAGTAATTCTCACATTCTTACAATAGGATCAGATGTCAGGGAGCTTGAGGGAGGAAGCAGACCTGAGATGCTTCCCCAAAACGTTATGCCACACCCTCAAGCTTAAAGAGTTAGCAGCAGGGCTGCTCAAAGAGGCCAGGTCACATGACACACCCCATAGAACTGTGTTATAGGACTGATGTTAAGAGAGCCTTTTCCCGTCATAGGGGTCTTGGTATAATGCAAGTATGCACATTACAGTTGACCCAGCAGAGAGAAAGACCATGATTGCTGTCACAGAGCAACAAAACCAATTAAAACACTGATATAATTAAGAAGAACCGCTAAGTGCTACTAAACACAAACATGTGAGATTCTTCCAAATTCAAGTATATCCCTGTACCTGCTGCTTTTCCTAGCTATTATGCAGCAAACGGGGGGGGGGGGGGTCTCTAGGCCGCCACACTGGCCGGTTTGTTTCAGAGAGTAGTGACACATTGCTTGGGCCTTGCATGACGACACAAAACAAGCCTGCACCTCTTCCCTTCAGGGCAGGCTGCTTGGATGCAACTCTGCTAATGCTGCTAACTGGGAGTAGGGAGGTTCGGAAGCATGACCAGCAGGGCCAGAGGGGAGCGACAGGGAGCTGCGGACCAGGATGTGACAGCGGAGGGGAAAGGAAAACTACAGACAGGCGCCTCACTGAAAAGACTAATGTTTGGGTGTCGGTGAGTGTGTGTATGTGTGTGTGTGTGTGTGTGTGTGTGTTAAAGAGGGAGAGGTCTACAGATATGGGGTCCTCTGGGGCTGTCAGGGGCGTACAACAGGCAGCGTTGGGGTGGCACAGGGCGCGAGCCAAGAGACACAGGAAGGGGGGGCATCCATTTCAGGTCAGAGAGCTTCCTGATTGGCCGTCAGGTACTCCTCAGCCCGTTTGTGGGCCTCCAGCGCCTTTATGGTGTAGACGTCCTGCGGCAGCTCCGACTTCCGCCGCATCAGCACCTTATCCTTCTTCAGCTCTTTCATGCTCTGGAAGGCAGGGGGCGCCAACAGGAAGACAGACGTCAGCATAACGATCCACACCGGCGATAGGCGGACTGTTGGGCAGCTGGGTCTATCGCTGCAGCCTTAAACCACGTTAGCACTTCTCACAATAGAAGGCCAGCAGGAGATTTCTTTCTAATGAGGCAAGATCAAAGCAGACTCCCTCGCTGATGTTATCGGTCGAAGAACCCACTTGGTCTTCTAAAAAACTCTTGGGGCTCACTGCATTTCAGAGCCTCCAACCACCCCGCCCATGTATGTCCCTGGGATTTGAACCCATGACCTTTATGTTGCTAGCACAGTGCTCTACTTATTGAGCTACAAGAACTTAGTAACACTTAATAATGCACATTTTTCAGCATTAGTGGTTAACCGGTGCCAGAGGTTCGGCTCGATCTCCGTGAACTATTGATTTATCTGCACCAGCTCCCGCAGTTACGTCGCTTGGCCGTGGGCGCTCACCTGCGTGGCCTCAGTCTCCACAGTCTTCTTGAGTAGCTGGATGTCCTCAGCGGTGGGCGTCTCTGTCTCCATGGAGTAGAGAGCCAGGCCTCCGGGGCTCTCGCTGTACATCATGTACTGTCAGGACAAAATAGCGCTCTTTAATGACATGCTTAGGCCGCCACCTCGGCATGAGGATACCGGTGGCGAGTGACAGCGGTATATATGTGCAGGTCGGCCACAGAAATCAAACCAATGACGGCTGTATAGACCAACTTCAGGAAAAGACATCTCGACTCAACCAGGTGGTTTATAGAAAAAATAATAAATGGAATGAAAGTTTCACTGCATATGCTCATTATTAGCAGCAGTGACATGCTAAATGACTCCTCTGAGGTCAGGGCCCCTAAAGCCTCACTGTTACAGACACCACTGAGTTAGTCTGCATCTGGGACAAGAGCAAGAGATGGGGAAGCGGCCAAGGAACTGACCTCGTCTTGGGAGTGGATCCCAGGTCGCAGAGAAGGGTTCAGCTTTGAAAGCTAAAAGGAGAAAATACAAAAACTGAGGCCCATGCCAGTCCTACGCATCAGCCCAAAAAGTCCTTGAGTCTGTGAAACAAGCCCTACAGAGCGACACAGAAAGCCCCCTGAGAGAATAACTGATAATTACAACTAACACAGGAAAGTGGAATCAGTTAATTACAGAACGACTCAGAGTCTTTTTCTAAACAACAGATAAGAGATCAGCACTGATATCAAAGTGAAAAAAGACAGCAGAGAACTCCAAAGAGGACAAGGAGCCATGGCTGTTTAGCTGCCAAACAAGGTCAGAGTGGCTTCACTGGAGATATGAGGGTGTGTCTGGCAGCTGTGGCATCTACTGACTACAGGATGTGTGTGATTTATTTAACAAAAACACAATAAACGCACAATTCAAGCATGGCTGTATACCCACGTCTGTGTAATCAATGAGTGTTCAGACAGGAGATGTGTTTTGTGTCAGTGACATCACGGGGGGGGTACCTGGGGGTTCTGCCTGGCCAGCTCCTCGATCCTGTGCCACATCTCCTCTCGTTCCTTCAACTTGTACTTCTCCCTGCAATCAGTCAGGCGGCTACCTCAGAGCGGTACAAATCCACAACCCAGCAACACGGCGGTCACCATCAAGCCTCACCCAGAGCTGCCTGGAGAGTGGCACTCAGGGACTTCTGCTTCTCTGCCTTGTATTGCTGTGTGCACTCGTCAAACAGCTTCTGGTTCATCTCCATGAAGAGCTTCAGGGCATTGTAGATCAACCCATGTATCGTCCTGGTGAGGGAGGCAAACATCGGCTCACGTTAAGAGAGACGTGATGGTAAACTCTTCGGGGACACGGCTACAAGGGGCAGACATACTTGTTCCAGTGGCTCTTGGAGTTCTTGTACAGTGCTGGAAACATTATTGGCAGAATCTTCACTGCGTTGTCACTTATGAGGCTCATGATGTATTCATTGTTCCAATAATAAAGGGCTCTCTCCGCCACCTAAAACCAAAATGCCGCTCACATCCAATCTCAAGAAGACCCTAGACTGCAACTTCCTGAATACATTAATCTGTGCTCTGTGGAAAGCCAGGCCCCCGACAGCGTACCTGAAAGTGTGGGCTGGACACACACTTGGCCAGCTGTCGGAAGAGAGGTTCCATGACCTTAATGAACTCGGAGGGCTCAATGACGTCCAGGATCTCCTCTAGCTCATTCAAGAACATCACTTCTTTGGGGCTGTGGGTCTTGGGCCAGAACTTCAGCAGACCCATGATCACCTAAGGCAAGCAAGTGAGATGCTGCGATGTGATTGCTTGCGATATATGCGATGTGGGATATGACTGTCTGTCTTATAGAACCAGCATTTCAAAAGGGCTGAGGTTGAATGTTACAGCCGATTAACCTGGTCAATCAGGTCATGACACACCAGATCCCACTGACTGATCCGAGCTGATCTGACTGGCAGTAAGGAATCGAAATACAGCCATCCAAAGCATAATGTGGTCATGACGGCTGTCAAGTGTATTACAAGCATGTTAAGAGTAATTTCCACAGCCATGAAAATCTCTTGAAAACCTTCTGCTTGAATTGTCTATGGGATATATGTCAAAGCCACACAGCAAAGCAGCTTGGGTGGTATTTATGTTTTCATATGGTCGTGCAGTCTTGACTCCTGGTAAACACTGGAATCAGAGATAGCCTAAACGGACTCATCAGTGCAGAAGTTAAGCACTAGGGAAACGAGCAGACAACTCCTTGTTAAAGAGTTAAAAATATCACCCTTCGTTTATTGACACCTCTCTCACTGCCCAATCTGCAAACACCAGCCTGACCTGCGGCCACATGTGCACTAGGTGCATTCACAGTATGTTTTGTTCTTGTGACATTAGCTCCTGCATGCGCATTATTCTTTAACTTTTTTTTTTTTCTTTTTAAACTTGAGTGATACTTCAATCACTGCAAACACTGTGCACTACAATGCATTGCCTCAGCGGAACTGAGGAATATTTGTATTTTTGACAGTATTAAAAAAAAATACCTTGGGGATTTCAAAATACCGGGGTATGGCGTAACTCTACAAACCACCCAAGCCTAACACCAAGACCAATAAAATGTTCTATGGAAGAACATACCGGTTCCGTCAGACTGCTGTCTTTCTCCAAGAACTGCACCACACAGTAAGCCAGCTGGGGGGAAAAAAAGTGATAAGCATCTGAAAGAGTTGATATGGCTTCCACACTATGGCGGTGAGGCCTGGTGGCCTGACGTGCATCAGTACCTGTGGATGATACACGCTGAGCGACTTCACTTTGTGCAGAGGCAGAAGGACCCTTATCAGGAACATCTTATGCTCCTCTTTTAATGGCAAAGCGAAACCATTGATAATGCTGCAAAAGACCATCAGGAGGGGGCACCAGAGAGCCCATCAGAAATCAGGATCTCAGACATGTGGGAGAGATGAGATGTATGGAAGTGGGAGAAACTGCCATTGTCGCCGGCCACTCACCTCCCAAGGATTTCCAGCAGCTCTGCAATCCCGTTATGATGCTCCGTCTCATATATAAACCTGGAAGTGGGATGTGTTAAAAATCCCCCGATTAAAGTAAGTAATGCTTCCAAAAAGACCAGCGCCCCCTAAGGGTCTCCTGAGTTTCTCTCAGGCAGTTTCAGAATTAGTCAGAAAACGGCCCGACAAACGAAGAGGTTTTCGGCACAGGGAGGGGGCAGCCCTGGAGCAGCACCTACCTATAGAAAATGTTGTTGATCTGCCGCCGTATATAAGCCCTGAGGCCCAGGAACTTTCCGTAGATCCTGTGCAGGATGGTCTTGAGGAAGTCCCGCTCCCTGGGGTCCTCGCTGTCAAAGAGCTCCAGGAGCTGTGGGGCAGACCCAAGCCAGCAGGCTACGTGAGCTGCTCCGGACCTGTGATGGGCGCTGAACATGTACACTGATGCTCGGTTTATCTCTGGCCAATGAGGGTTTAACTGGCTGTCATGTGGGCGTGGCTAAGCACCTTTAAGGTGCCTGCGACAGCCAATGCAGCTCTCTGTGAATCATTGCCTCTCCAGAAAAACCAGCTGATTGGCAGCTTCCAATAATAAATCAATTAGTCTGAAACCGGAGCATTTCCAGTAGCATTTATAATGACACGAGGGGCCAATTACTCAGAAGTACTGCCCTCTGCAGGCAAGGGGTGAGCACTTGCTCAAAATCATAATGTCCACACAGGGTGCCATGACAAACAGATGCTTTGTGCCAAGGCTCTGAACAGACACTTACGGACAGTACAAACTTTTGGTCGATGTATTTTTTGGCAATGTTGGGCTGGAAATCTGGAGACTCCAGGAAGCGCAGGAAGAACTCGTACACCAGCTGGACCAAGAAAACAAGAGATGCAGGGGGTGTGTAAGGGTAAACAAACAAGACGGACATTTGAATCAGCTCTCCATCTGCATAAGATGGGAGAATGTCACAGAATAGAGGGAGGACCAATTACTACACAGGTGGTTAAAGCGCCAAAAAAATACACTTGAAGAATTCAACAGCAATGTCTCTTACCAGAAATCTTTACCCGGTTATTGAATATAATCCACAGACTTTGTAGTGAGTGTTTTAATGTACTATTAAAACTATATAACTAATTACAACTATTTGCACAAAAAACTGGCTAATAAAATTGGCCATATTTAGACTGCCCGGTGACGCTGAGGCTGCGGGGGCACTGTACCTGCAGGTGGGGCCATGCTGCCTCCAGCGTGGGTTCATCCTCTTCTGGGTCAAACTCTGCCCCTGTTGGGTTCGAGGAGGGGGGTAGGGTCCTGAAGAGGTTCACTGAGAACTGAGGCAAAGGGACAGCATGTGAGTGCCATTTCAACTTAACCCACGTACTGAAATCTCAGAAGTCGATCTGACGTGGCTGAAAAGGCCAAAGGTCAAATAGACGTACAGGTGGGGGGGAGGGGCGGTGACATCCAAGATGCTCATTAGGCTCACGGTGAAAGTGTCCGTAAGGCTAGGATTTTCTTTGCCTCATTACGCCACGTGCACACCACACACAGGTACTGCTCTCTGAAGGGCTGTGAGTCACACTGCCTGCAGCTCTCAAGGGGACGCCAAGCCCAGCACATCTAACCAAACAGTTTACGGAGATCCCGGTTCCTTCACGTTATGTGGACTGTTCTGGTTGTGCCCAAGTCCCAGCCACTAACTCGTGACTGCGGCTGGCCCCGCCTATCACGACCAGCGAGGCTCGGCCGTCACACGCGATTGGCTGTGTGTTGGAGCATATGAGCGTGTAAGAGAACAGCAGTGCAGAGAGGTGGAGGGGGAAGGTAGACACGGACTGGGAATAACGACTGGAGAGCAGAGTTCCTGTGTGTTTGTGTGTGTGCACGCGCGCGAGGGGAGCTACGATGACACCATCACAGGACTGTAAGAGAGACACCCAGACAGACGGCTCCCCAGGGGATGCTGGGAGCAGCCGTCAGATTTAATTCATCCAACTTTCCACTGTGGTTAAGGGTGGATGAAAGTTCTGATCTGAACAGGAGCTACGCAGCCTGGGCAGAACTGGGGTCGAGATGGCAGAGGACGATTGTCAAAAATCAATACTGTTTCAATGCTCACTAAGTTATCTACTGTCAAAATCAATATTCTGCAGGCGGCAGGGGAGGCGTGCAGCCTCCAGGGGGTGCTGTGTGCATGCTCACCATGATGACGGCCTCTGGGTAGATGCATTCGGTGACCACATCACGGTTGTGTGTGATGTACTCCACCATCTCATTGAGGCCGGCCCGCTTCACCTCCTTGTACTTGAGGTCGCTGAGCGGGTCAGTGACGAAGTCGAACAGCACGCAGCACTGCCGAAGCTTCTGCACAAACAGCTCCTCCCTGTCGATGGGTGGGGCATCTAGGAGAGACAGTGAGACACAAGACATCAAGGAGTTGCTTCTTGTCTTGGATTCTACTTTTCCCCCACTTCACGGAGCCCGAGCATAAGAACGACATCTTCACTCCTCAATACCCAGATGATGAGCCCCGCTAATGTGTCGCATGGTCCAGTCACCCAAGTCACTTGGGACATACTTGGATCCACATCTCTAAAGGATTCCTGCAGGAAAATGCTCTCTTAAAGCATGACAGACAACTCCCACAATAAATGTATCGCAGTTCTCCCAGACTCATTACCATAAGGGGGCGCTAGCACGAACACAATGAGTATCCCTCAGTGCTAGACAAATGCTCAAAGTCAAACACCAAGTCAACCAAATGACGCCAATAGGATCTTCAACTGTGGCAGAATCCAATGATATTCTGAAGGGAACAAATGTCTTGGAGTAATCAACACTTCTGCTAAGCCAGAGCAAAACAGCATATTACCATTAAGGCTTAAGGACACTTTAAGATGGCTCAACCGAAACATTAAACCCACACTAAAAACCACTGCAATCTAAACACAGTTAGGCGGATCACAGAGTTTCATACAGAATGTTCACCATGGTACCGTGCTAACCAAAGGAGAGGGTATGTTTGTAGAGTGGTTGTTCTGCACTCAAACAGCACAAATGCTTGTGAAACCAGAATACATGCTTTTCCAGCCTAGACACACAATACTCTGGTGACGTGCCCATGCTCCGTATCAGTGGCAGGAACTGCTGCAATCAGGAAGTGGCCGGTCACCATGGTCTGTAACAGCGCTCGGTAACATGTGAGAACTCAGTGCTGCAAAGGTCAGTACACAGTTTGTCCTGAATTTCACAGAGTTCATAAACTGCATAAAGCCAATGTTTATCAAACCATGCGGAAACAAGCCCCACCTTTTCCCTCACAAGGCTCCTCCAGAAGCTCAACCACTGTTCCAAGCTTTGGGAGAGCAATGTGTTGGCCTGATGAAAAATAAGGTGCTGCTCCAAACTGCCACGTGACTGGGATGCTGTTGACTCCAGAACCTGGCACCAAACGGATCTCGCTCTCTGCTGAAGACCCCTCACCAAGTCTTAGTTTAGCTCCCACTGAACTGGCACCAGCTTCATCTCAGAGTTCAACCAATCATCAACCACCGCAGCACAGAGAAATTAAATAATAAAAAAATCATGATGACAAAATGATAACTGCACCCATTTTAAGAGCACAGGCTTAAAGGTACGGCTACACCAGCACACATATACTAAGACCTATCGCTTTACCACCGACTACACATGGGGTGCAGACAGATCTCCCAAACAGGAACCCTTCATCCAACTCACAGCATACCAACTCAGAAAAGACTAAAACCATGGGGGGAGAGACCAGATGAACACGAGAGGCACAACAGAGAGTACATTAAGATATTAAAAATGCGCCTGAGCCATGCAATTAGCTCTGAACACTTTACGCCCATTTAAGAGGGTTATACATTCTGCCCCCATTACAGAGCCCTCATCCCTCAGCCTGATCTCCAGCTCAACTAAAGCAGCATCACCCTGGGGGTCTTTGGTCCCTGGGAGTGTGGAACACCAAGCTCGCATCCTCAGCCATGCAGCTGGACAAAATGTCACCCACAAGCTCATCACTGACTACCAAGGGTGAGGAACAGGTACCACACAGTACACACATCAATTAATTACAGCAGTGGCAATTAATTAGGCAGCATTTTCTATTTTTTATTCAACAGTCATTAGATGAGCTGAATCTCGTGTTGCGGGCAGCTGCTGGTGAGGGCCGGGGTGTTTGAAATGTGGGTGAGGTGTCTTCACGCCACGCCATTGAGTATCTTGCAAGGCGGCCCATTGATCAGGCTGACGTTACTATATCCCCACTACACTTCACAGCACCCTGGAAGCTCTTCACCAGCCGATTCCTCATGGGAGTGAAAAGCAGATGCCTCCCACAACGTTCTCTTTGACTGTGCCAAAGAGTCTTATGTTTAGCAGCAACCAAGCCTGAATACTAGCATGTTTAAGACCAAGGTCACTGTTTTTTTTCTACTGGAAACCAACTCGCCTTCTACCATGAGAATTAGCATGATAATAATATCATGATTTACTAGCTGCTTTATGGTTTTGTTTACAAAGTACCCGCTTCCTCTTTCTTCAAGGCTGTGTTCCTGGAGACCAAGCCCTTCCACAGCCGCCACGCCAACTTACAGATTGAGATGTCATGGTAGCAGAGGGGGAAAGGGTAAGATTACATAGCCAATAAGCACACAGTCAGTTCAGAAGCTTAGTCGACGAAGCCATGGTGTTGGATCAGTGATGTAGGACTGATGAAGTCTTACAGAGGTTCTCCACAGAGTTCCTAAAGACAATGAGGGGAAACTGATCGCTACACTGACAATGCCCTATCACAGGATAGCATTGTGTTTCTGAGGTCAGCATCTGAAGGTTACCAGCTTTACAGTGACAGATCAGTGCCCGAAGAGACTCGAAATGGAGCAAGTCACTTACAACATCAAAGACTTCTACTCTTTCAAATGGTTTGCATCAGGAACTGATACGCTCAATTGAACAAGAGTCAAACAATGTCAACAGATGCTTTCAGAAGTATTCAGAGTCTCCTGCTGATTGGCTACTGAATGCCAGAGCAGACCTTCCTAGGATCTGCCTCTCAGCATGGTGGCTTAGATGGGCTGCTCCAACTACACCTGAACCCCCTCCCCCAAGGCACATATAATTCTCTTCTCTACCACTACCTGCCAGCTGAAACGAGGGAGGAACCAGATGCCATTAGATCAGAGTCATACTGAAGTCAAAATCAAACTGCTGGTTGAAGTTAGGTTCAGCAATCCACAGACTCACGAATTAAAAACCTCCATCATGATTACACTTTGGGTCAAAAAGATAATGGAAACCTAGTTGGGCTGTTTGAACCAGTTTCACAATAGCTCTGCTCAAACTTGCAGAAGTAACAGCACAGTCTTCACAAACTTACGACCATCTACTTTTAATGCCCTCATGGTCTAGTGCAGGGGTGGCCAATCTTATCTGCAAAAGGCCGGTGTGTATGCGGGTTTTCACTGCAACTCCCTAATTAGATTACTAATTAGAGGACTGATTGGCTGAAGAATCCTCACACCTGGACAGCTGACCTACAGGTTATCCCAAAAACCTGCATACACACCAGCCCATTGCGGATAAGATTGGCCACCCCTGGTCTAGTGTGTCATCACAAGTAGACCGCACTGCTACTGAGTAGCTTGAGAAGGAATGTCTTTAATCTTGAGACAATCGATAATTTCAAAGAATAGTCAGAGCAACAACAATATAAGACCATTACTCATTCTGGCCAGTCAGAAATGACTGCACTACATCTGACTAATAAGATAATCACTCCACAGAAGGGTCCTGTCCAGTTCTTCTTTTCCCTCCCGTGCATCTCCCCATTCATCAGCCCACAAAAAAGAGCCATTCATTTGGCGGTGACCAATCACGCAGTTCAATGGCAGGCAGTTGTGTCCTGTAGTTGGCTGCGAGGAACAGCCCAAAGCCAGACCTTGATTTCCCATAAGGATGGAGTCGAGTGAACCAGAGTCCAATGACAGGGCTCAATGAGAGGGCCCAGTTCACTAAGATGGTGGAGACGAATGGGGAACAATGCTGGCACATATGGATGAAGGAGTTTGGCAGTGTGAGGCAGAGATGCAGGAGGGCTCCAGATGAATGACACAATAAGCTCCTTACACAAAAGAAGGAAGAGAAGCTTCCGCTGTTTATTTACCGCCTGCTTCTATAAAACACACCAGCACACGCCCCTGCCCTGGGAGGACACAGGGCCCTGTTGGTTGCCAGCCCGCAAGCTTGCACACTGCCATGGCCAGACGTTAATTCCCGACATGCAGTTTGATAACACGCTGGGCCTGGAAGGAAACCATGAGGCAAACAGCGATTTAAGCCTGAGTAGAAACCTGCAACATGACCATGCGGAGCTCTCCTCCAGCAAGCCTGGCTGCTGGAGCCCATATACACCTATAGTGCCAGAATCTTACAGATTTATAACAATAGGATTCAGCTGCCTGGTGGTACCGGTAGGACAATTCACCTGGTCAACTCATCTCCCTGATCTCCTCATGATAGCTCCTGAGGCCTCTATCAAGCAGGTTAAAGAGTCAGGCTCTAGGATTTATCAGTACAGTGTGCCAACTGTGAGAGCTGATCATTCCTCAAGGTCAAGAAGGCTGTCTGTTACCAGCTGTAGGTGTCTATTGGCATTCAAAGTTGAGTGTTTACACTCCTGAAGGGAGAAAACAGCCCCACTGCGGGAGGGATCACAGTAAGATGTCAATCACTGCTTCAAAGCCTCTATTATTCCACCAAATAATTTTATCCTGTGCACACTGAATTGATGCTATTAAACATGCATACAGGGCAAAACCTGCTCACACATCACAGTTTCTCCTTCACATACTGACGGACAGGGCTGGAAATTAAGCTCAGTCGCTTGAGGTCAGTCACATAGATGAAGGATAAGGACTAAAAACTGAATTACTACACCTTTGCGACTGATCGTATTTCGTGTCTAAGACCCATCAAATGGTAGCTCCCCCTACATGGGAGAGGAGACAAGGCAAGCCCTAAAGCCCAAGGCCATCCTGAAGTAGGACTTAAAGTTTCCCGATTTGGGAGCTCAGCCCTGGCTCTCAGGGCACGCTGTGGCACGCTGTGCACACAAGAAGAGGAGTGCAGATGCAATTCAACTGCAGGGTTAGAAAGCATAAATAAGAATCTCAATACTGTGCTGGGGGAAAGAGAAATATCATCATCTGTTACGCCCAATTATTACCATTAAAACAGATAAACACAGTGATCACTGCTGTTTTGCAACAGCAAACAGCGAGACTGAGTGGCCTGTGTGCGCTGTGGAATGAACAGCAAGCCTCAGGTCTCCCTGGCTAGCTCTCAGATAGCCGGCCAAGTGGCCTGTGTGTACTGTGGAATGGGACGGGCGAGCCCCAGGTCCCCCCAGTTACCTCACAAACAGCTGGACCAAGGGGCCCATGTGTACTGTGAAATGGGACGGGCGAGCCCCAGGTCCCCCCAGTTACCTTTCAAACAGCCAAAACAAGTGGCCCTTGTGCATTGTGGAATGGGATGGGAGGGCCCCAGGTCCCACTGGCTACCTCTGAAACTGGACTGAGTGGCCAGGGTGCGCTGTGGAATGGGACGGCGAGCCCCAGGTCCTCCTGGCTACCTTTCAAGGCCGGCAGTTTCTGCAGCTCGCGGTTCCTGCTCAGATTGAAGCGGGATGAACTCTGGCGGCGCTCCTTCTTGACAATCTGTGGCCCCCCTGAGTACTTGATCTTGTTGAGCTGGGTAGGCGGGGGGGTGCTGTTGCTGGGCCTCTTGCTGGCCATCTGCTGCTGTTGGGCCTGGAGATAGGACATGCGAAACACATGTGTATGTGCCGTGAGTTCTGAGGCTTCACATTAGTGCTCATTTTAAGGTTTAACTCTAGTTGCCTAGGTAGGTTGGCCCAGAACCCTAAAAATGACATGTATGTACAGGTCCCTAAGATACCTATGGACACCAAAGAACACTACCAGCTTATCCTACATCCCAGCATTGCCAAATCTTTAAAGGGATAGATGAAAAAACAGGCTGACAGCTGGATGGATAATCGATGCTGGGGAATGGCTAAGGATGTGAATGAGAGAAACTGGAAACCCAGAGCTGACACGAAGGGAGCCACATATGAATTGGTTGTGAGTTCAGTGCAGCAGAACCTGGGAACACCCTTACTTATTTTAGTACAATCTGTACATTTGCTTCTTGGCTTTGGCAGCAATGGATGATGGGAGTCAGAACACAAACGGAGCTACAGAAAAATCAACAGACCACTTCTCACTGTGTATACGCTACCTGCAGCAGATAAGTAATGGATAAGGCCTACTTTGATCTAATCCCAGTGTCAGGTTGAGTTGAAGCAACCTCATTGTAAGATGACCACATATAGTGTCTACCGTTTCAGCCACTCATTACAAGACCCAGCAATGGTGAAACCACCTTTCAGTCTCCAGGGAAGGTGGCCTCAGGGCTATAGAGATGCAGACAGCCAAACTGCCCCACACGTTAACCCTGGCCAACATGGTAATAAAGTAGGTTTTAGACAAAGTTATAAAAGAAGATGCCACAGACAAGGACACTGAAGACTCACAACGTACAGCTAGTCATGATGCTGGGGTTTGTTGAATGTGTGCCTTAAGTACATAGTTGGGGAGGTCATTTTCATCTGCCAAACTACTTCCTACTACCCTAACATTAGCCATTCCCTACTCCCACTCCCCATTATTATCAAGGTACAAACCCTCTGACCCTTAGAAGAAGGTCTCCAATATTATGGAGCTAAACAAAAAGAGGAGAACAGTCTCAAAGTGTTACTTCCCCCTCCCCAAGCATGGAACTTCAAACCAACTGCAGGATCTCCATGGTCAGACCCTTGGCTGATTCCTCAAATGAGACAGGGCTTTGGTGAATAATTCACTTTGCCTGGAGCCCTTTTGGTGACACCCCTGTGGAGAGAGCTGCCCTGCACTGGGTACTGTGACAGCAACAGCGGGTGGGGGGGGGGGGGGGGGATTCAAGAGTGTTCTGTAGTGAAAGAGAACACCACTGTGGAGTGATGGGCTTCACAAACACTTAGGGCGTTTTTTCCACTGCATTCCCAGAAAATACCAAAAGTATGATACTTCCAGGTGTTTTTCACTGGTGTAGACACCGGCACCGGATGACATCACAACGTGAGGCGGGGAATATTGTACTGAATTTGAAAAATGGCTGTAGTATATTATACGGCTTGGCGATATTAATACCAATGTCACATGTTATGCACATAAAATTCTTACATTTCTAATCAGCTATATTAAAATAAAGCTTCTTTTGTATGGACATTATAGCATGAAGGGTTAAAGTTTCGCTAAAATATTTTTACTCTGTTACTCTGTCATAGGGAGAAAAAAAAAACTTGGTAAGTTTTGCAATTTTAATTATTACTCCTTTTATAGATTCTTATATGTTTAAAAATCATGTGTGCTGTATTAGTATACAGTGATCCTCCACTATATTGCGGTTCAGCTATCGCACCCCCGCTATTTCACGGATTTTTCCCCGACCCGTCACAGTTCTCTGCGTACCGCGTACCTTGCTTGTGGTCCGATTGTTTACATTTTTTTTTAAGCCCTACGATGGCTTAAATATGGATTTTTTACATATTCCATTATGTATATTATATATAAAAATATACATTACATATTATTATTATTATGTTACTCATATCCTTAGCCCAGCATCCACATATCATATGTGTTGTTTTAATAAGTTGACATGTGTTTAAAGTGTGTAGGAGGGGTATTTTAAGGCTTAAAACTATAAAAACATGTTTATTTATATTGTCTTTCTATATCGCAGATTTTCACCTATCGCTGATGGGTCGAGAACGCATCTTCCACGATAGGCGGGGATTCACTGTATTCAACAAAATACTTTTTAATTTCTTGTCATACCATCCAGATCATCTTGTTGTATATGTTCTTACGATCAAATCACTTTTTTTTTTTTAACTTTGTTTATCATTATTTTCTGAGATTGTATTGTTTCAGTGGCAGGCTATTTGCATAGCCAATCGACAAAGAAAGCATTTCAAGTCCCACCCCAAAGTACCGAAGTACCCCAGCTGGTTTGGCACTTTTGGTACTGGAACTCGACTGGAAGCTAATGGAAAAGCAAAAGAACTGAAATTATCGTACCAAAAGTATCGTACTCGGTGCTGTGGAAAAGCACCCTTAGAGGGGAACTGGTTCAATGGAGGATGAAACAAAATAGGCCAGTGGGGCTGGTGCCGCCCTGTGCCCAGCATAAGTGGGCAGCACTTTGAGCAGAGCTCAGTTAGCACCCAGCCATGACATAAAATGGGCTTTGTGTAAACACTCCTTTAACATCTAGAGCAGAAGCTGGACAAAGACAGGAAGCCTATTGAGACCAAGCCATCAGGGTACCCTGGACTGAAGGCAACCAGGACCACCAGAAAGGGATGATGGACCCGCTCCTGAAATAAATTTAATCGATACCCTCCCGTTTGTGGCACACCAGGAGTACTGCAGCTGAAAAGTCAATACACAGCCTTATACAAGAAGCATGTCAAAGGCTGGAACACGGGAAAGAGTGAGGGGCTGGCTAGTGGACGGTTGGGGGGCCGTGGGCGTCTCTGGACCTGGACAAGAGCAAAGACAAGTCTGCCAAAAAGCTGGAGCTCACACTGTCCTTTGGGAGCCGCACAATGATCCGCGGATACTGGACGACAACAGCACCAGAGACGGCCACCACACACCTACGAACAAAACATGCTGTGACGAACGGAAACATGCATTAAATGCACAGTCTGGCCCTCTGTAATCAAATACATTTCCTTTGACTTGTCACTGATGGCAACCGCAACTCGATTCAAGCTCACAGAAGCCGCAGTAAACATGTTCTGGAGCTGACAGAACAGGTCGCTGGAAGACACCGCCACAGATTAACTGGGCACGGGTCCAAACGTTACGTCATCTGTGGTTCTGTTTCCCACACAAGAAACTCAAAAAAAAAAAAAAAAAGATAAACAGATCGAGCAGCTTCTTGGTCAGCTGCCTGGTACTGCTCTCCTCACTGAGCGGTGTGTCCATCACTCCTGCTCTTTCCAGGGTCATTTTCGGGCACACCACACCTCCAGCTCTGCGAGTCCGAGACAAGCTGCTCCGCTTGGCACGCACTGTAAGCATGGGCTTCTCTGCGGGTTCCACCCACAGGCCAAAGTCCAAGGGAGCCAGTAAGTCCGAGATGCCTTTGGCCTGTGAGTGGCATCCAAAGCAGAGCTGTCGGTGCCCTGCTTCCTGGGATGGGCAAGCACAGAATGAATCCCAAGCACCATTCAACACTCTTTGATTCAGCCAGCTCAAGATAAATGAGAAACACACTGTCCCCCCATTACGCTCTCCAAGTTATCTATACCAGGTGATCAGTGCTAAATCTAATGTCCTAATTGGTTTCCCCACAACTCTGTACATGTGGACACTCAGATAAATATTATATGGATTAGACAGTTTGGGGGCAGCGTGTGGCTCGGTGGGCTAAGCCTGTGTGCCTGTAATCAGAAGGTCACTGGTTCAAACCCAGCCTCAGCATGTCTGCAGGTCCTTGAGCAAGGCCCTTAACCCCCAGCTCCCTGGCCGCCGCTACGCTTCGTGGACAACTTACTCTACGAAAAAGAAAGTTCAGGGAGGCGTAAAGACAAATTCCCCATGGGGATCAATAAAGTATCGATTATTATTATTAAAATTTAATTTAACGGGATGGACTCATGCTTCGTCAGTGCTATAATAGCTACAAAGTTAATGATTCACTCAAACGTCCATTAACACAAGTACAAGGGGCCTTGCTAGTGCAGAACCTTCCTTTACTCTCTCGGCAGCAAGTAAGCAAGCAGAACAATGAGTGCGATTAAGAAGTCCTCAGATTTCTCAGTCGTATGTACATTAGGAGATGGCAGGCAGGTGGAACTCTTACTCCTGTATAGTGTCCACAGAGCACAGCCTGCCTCTCCCTTGGGAGAAATCATCTAACCTAGAACCAAATAGAGCCCTTTTAGGCCACCCCCTAAAACCTCAGGCTTTCAGAGGTAGCACCTTTCAGGTGACAGAAAAGACCTGGACAGTCACCTTCATGCAGCCTAAATGGAAACAGATTTCCACAGGGCATTCTTAACATTTTTACTTCATTAATTGTTTATCAAAGACATAGAAACTATACAAATAATATATTTCTCTTTTAAACAGATTAAGAAATATCAGCATATCAGAGGTGTCAGAGAGGCTTGCAGTGCCTAACAGCAGGATATTTTTACATTAATTCAGGCTATGCACATTATTAAAATCTGACAAAGGAAACAGTATACAGAGCGGCTGGTCTACCACATGCTCTTTTTCAGCTGAATGGCACATTTCACACAGACCCATATGCTGAGGTTAGTTGGGGAACATGCAGAGAACCAAGTGTGTTCAGACATGAATGGTCATCTACCTGATCTAAAGAGGGATGTTCCCGGTTTTGACGGTGACTTACCTCATCGGGATGCTCGTCCTTTCCCACACTCACGGTGCTGTTCTTTGCGCTGCTTCTGGCAGATTTGGCCGGTTCCTGTGAACAGGGCAGAAATCTGACCACATCCCCAGAACAGCGGGACTCTACGGTAATGGACAGTCAGACGCGATTTGGGGTTTAATCATGATTTGCTGTCGACTGCTGCTGCCGTGCCAGGCTGCTCTGTAGACATGACCCACCCGGCGTGACTTCAGCAGACAGCCAGTTACACCAACATGAAAGATATAGAAAATACCGGTATTGCAGGAAAAAATGCCTCCCGGTAATTTGGAAAACGGCCTGGAGACATCTCGGCATCCCCCCTCCATCGTATCAGTGACATTGAGAGGAAACGTTTGATCACATCCGTGCGATGCGCCGCAACAGATTAACGAGCGGCGCGGCGAACGGGCACATCTAATCCACAATAACGGAAAAACAGACTGGCGCCTTTCTATGGTACCGGCAGCCTAGACGCCAGGACTGCAAATTAAACTTGCGTCCATTTACTTTATAAGAGTGAGGTTAATGCAACGATGCTGTACGCCAATTAAATATACACTACTTAAAAAACGTGTCATGCATTGATGTAGAGAAGCAGTGACTTTTACGCGATGCACATAACAGTTTTTTTTCCTTTATAAAGAACTTGAAACGTTTTTTCGCCGACTGACTCGCTTGACAGATGCTATACTCTTAATCACTGAAAAACAATACTATACAAGTTGGCAGCGATCATGCATGTGGAAAGTGGATCGTGTCGCAATAAGGTTTACTCATGCGCCAGAACACGTTCTTTAAATACAAATGCCTTTTGTGGCCCCAAAGACACCGATAAACAGAACGGGGGAAAGGCAGGGCGCTTTTGCGTGGTCTGAATACTAGCTAGGCCTTAATAATAACACTGTATGCCGCTTGCCATTCAAATTAAAGACATGCAGTCGTTGATGTATAAGCCGATAAAAACAGGAAAACGCAACTTCCTTGTCAGCGGGATTAAAATCCAGCATCTGGCACGCATTACCTTCTCTTTTTTAGTTTTGTTCGGCATCGTGCGGCTCCTGACGCCTGACTCGCCCGGGACTCGGTCGCTCTCCCTTCGCCTGCCTCCGGCTCCCTGCGCCCTTCTAGGCCGCCACTGTTCCAATTGGTCCGAGACACGTAAAGCTGCCTAGCGACATGTCGCCGCTGTTTTTTAATTGGATGAAAGGCGGATAGCGGTGCCGTAACTGCGCTTGGGAAACAGATATTCTACCTAGCAACACTTGGCGTGAACACACATACCCTCTTGGGTTTTTCCGGGCGAGCATGTACATTTTCGGTAACGCTCTTTAAGTTATGTGGAAATGCCTGATATATTGCATTGTGATTATTTGACTAATATATGTTCAGTGTTTTGGCAACCCTGTACCGGAGAAAGGAGAACCAGAGACAGAAGGATGATTTGTTAAAGTTTATTTGAATTAATACCCCGACTACGCAGTGCAATGTTTTGCAAACGAATTCTAATATATTACATATGGGACACATAGCATTAAATCCCAAGTCATTGCACCATAGATGGAAAAGAATGTATCTTACAACTATGTAGCATCTTGAAATGGAAAACCCCGAACTACGTTAATAGATTATAGCACAAACAGGCATTCTCAATATGGTCTGAACATGACTTTATTGTAGTTATTAAAGTCTCTTTCCCCCTCATTTTCTCTTGTGCTGAGTGTTGAAAGCATTGCGTTCTTTGAGAGTTTAATGCACTCCGTGAGTGATTTCTGATACTTGATGCATTTGCATCACTACGGGGGTTTAACTGCATGCCTATCTTTGCCACAAACCCCAGTATGGAATTGAGAAGCCCTTGTCCTTAGGTACAGTTGGTAATAGGTGTAGCTTATCGGCAGCTGCACAATGGCGATGGCCACTATCAACAACGTCGATCATACGTAGACTGTCGTTATCACTTTTCCTCTGCGAGGACTTGTAGCTTTCAACTTTTATTAGAGAATGCGGCGCCATCTTCTGGACATGTTCTGTAATGGAGGCTTTATTACAGATGAGGTCTTACCTTGAAGCACTTGAATAACCACAATACTGAGGCACGTAGTATTCGGGTACTTGTAATGTAATGAAATATCGAAGTATTTACCTAAACATTTAGGGAGATTGAAAATAATACCATCAAATATAATGGTCATATATAACAGTAAATCTGCTGTCAAGAACTACAATATCCAACTAAGACATGACACATGACAATTATGAGCAAAAACGTCTTTATTTTCAAAGTTTATTAACAGTCAAAAACGTTCCATTTGTATGACCTGGTATCTAAAAGAAAAATACATTCACACAGGTTACCCCACCAACATAACAAAATTTAAATAATCGACCATGCACACAGTTACATCAATCAGAGCACATGCAATAAAGAACACATTCACACGGTCTCTCCAGACATTATGCATTCCTACAATCACCCCAGAAACATTCTTCTATCTAAATGTCCACTACAATTTTAGAAGAAAAAAACTTAGCATTATGACAGCTATTCCAGAGTAATCTTGGCTTACACCTTACCTTTATATAAAAGGGGCACCGCTCCAGAGGGTGGTACAGCCATCCTGGGAGGTAGCAACTCCAGGTAACCACGGATACACATTTAACAGAAACACTCACCATAACAGTTATCATGGTCTTATTTTGCTTTAAGGAAAAAAAGGGGAGTAGAAGCACTGGCCTGTCAGTCAGTGAGGGGGCTGTGGTTTATGTGCAGTTTAAGATGAAAACAGTTATTTCACGGTTACAGGTACAAAAGCAAAGCATAGGTGACAGGTGAAGGCAAGAGGAATGTCAGCAGAGTGATTACATCCCTTAAACGAACCCCCTCTCCCACAAACAGGAAGTAGGATTTCTGTGTGGATACCACTCAGTGATTCATCTTCTGTACTACTTGTCCTAAGCTCGGTTGTGGGGGTCCACAAACTATCCTGGAATGAACGGGCGCAATGAGTACCAAAGCTTTTATTTTTGCTCAAGAAAGTACACCAGCGTTTTGCTTCTTGGAGAAATATGTACTTTATGAGCAAAGGTGGATTACAAGTGAAAAACCAAACCAAGCGAAAGTGAAAAGTTCAGCTGGAAGCTGTATAAATACACTGTTATGCTGATGACCATTATTTACGTCTTTGAAGGACTGAAATCAAACTCGCTGATAAGCTGCATTGGGAACAGACTTTTATTGAACATATTCAGGTGAACCGTTACAGGACAAGCGCCAATGAATGTGGTACTGAGGACATCCGGAAAAGATGCACCAAACAGGAAGTTACACGGGTTGTACTTCCTTTCAATTCTCGTAACAGACAGATTATTTTAGAGGAAACACGCAACATGACATAGGAGACTTCTGTGAAACCATTTTTGGTCCGTCCTTTGCCTCTGTACCAACTCAGTCATCTTCTCACTTTTCCTTGATGCTGCATCAAGTCTTACTTAAAAACAAAAACAAAAAAACTTAAGAGTGTGAACTGACAAAAGCTGTACACGATAATAATAAACAAGCAACAATTGTACGTTACCTTTTTGTGTTTGTGGTGTTGTTTTGATACTGAAAAATATGAATTGGCAAACTTCAAATGTGACCAAATAAAAACACCAACCCCCGCACACACCTAAAAATTCCATGTGAAATTTCAGAGAGAAGGGGATATCAAACAAGTTTTGCTCGCCCATATTTTTTTCTGCTTCTCGGTCCAGCAACACTCATCCACAGCAGTAAATGCCCTGCTCTATTCATCTCCCTTCTCTCCAATTACTCTAAGGTGTTGGCATTCAGGTCACCATCAGATCCACCTGAAGACGATCTGCATCTGCCATTTACTAGTCAGTTGTGACTACTATTCAAGTCTGCGTTTACCGTTTTGGTCCCAATGTCAACATCCTGTAAGGGGCACGCTCCCTGGCCGAGAGACTCGGAGGTCTGCTCGTTGACCTTCTGGTAGGAGTCACTCGTAGAACTTGGTACTATCTGAGCATCTCTGTTCTCGGCCAGCGAACCCAACACCTTGCTCTTTAGAGCTTCTCCGTTCTTCAGGTCTCGAGGCCCAGGTCGAGCGTCTGAGGCTATCTTGCTGCTGCGGTAGAAGATGTCGTACAAGTCCTGCGCTTTCGCCGCAGCTAAGCTGGACTTCGGCTTGTCAATCTTAGGCAGTGCGTCGCTTGAGTTTAGGAGAGGAGGGGGCCGGACCACAATGGTTAGCATCTGTTCACTCTCAGGCACCCCGGGGGCAGCCACGTCAGACTCCAAGGTCATCACACATGTGGCTGGAGAAGACAGAGCCTGTTGCTCAACAAGCCCCTCCTTTGGATCCGAGGGTGCTGTGTTAAGTGGTGTGGAGGCCACGGGGATCTCTTCAGGTGTTGTGGCTTTTTCATCTGTGTCAGGAGTTTTCAAGACAACCTCCTCGCCGCAAAACGCTTTGGAAATGAGGTCAGGAGTCACCATCGCTTTTTCTTTGATCTGGTCCTGTACTACAGAACCAGGCTTCACAGTATGTTGCGAGCCAGGTTTACTGGAGGCACCAGGGAGGGACTTCCTTAAGACCATAGCCGGTACAGGCAGGTTTGGGCGGATTTTTATCGAGGCAGTCGGAGAGAAACTAGTGGGGACCCAAGGACTGGATGGAGGGATGACAGTTTTCCCTGACAGCTTGATGGCGATGGTCTTCGCTTTGTTTAGTGCTCCCCTTGCTTCGCCCTTGTCCCCACCGATGTCCCCACCATTGTCCTGCTCAATAGCACATTCCGCGGCTTTCTCCTCCTCATTTTCCTTGTCCGTCCTCTTCCAGCTGAACTTCCCAAAGGCTAGAGGAGTGGATGAGGATGAACTCCTCTTCCTCACCTTTGCCAGGATTGAGGGACTGGGTCCTGAAATCACCCTCTGAATTTCGGGTGTCCTCTGAGGTGGCTCGGCCGGCTTGATGGCCTCTCCCTTCTTCCCCTTTACCAGGACATGCTCACCTGCATCAAGCTTCTTCTCTTCCTTCTCCTTCCGCTGACTCCCCGCCTTATCTTCTCGATCAGTCTCCATGTGGCAGGCATCCAGTTTTTCGTCCTTGAGACTCTGGGGCCTCTCTCCCCTCTCCTCCAGTTTGCGCTTCACCCCCGAGTGTCGCTGCTCTCTGCTGTCCATGACCACAGCCAGGCCAGCCTGACGATCCAGGTTCCTCCTTTGTTCATAAAGTGGAAAGTCATCTGTGTGCCTCTGATTCGGGAAGGAAAAAATTAATGTTAAGTTTCCAGAGAAGCGGGTATCAGAAAATGTAACAATTTCATTCAGTGTTTATACCTTTTCCGGACTTAACCCTGTAATAGATACAGAACAGATTCAACAACTATGTTGTCAACAACAACATATTAAGAAATGGGCCAAACGGGCGCCACACATTTACATTTGTGTATTTACATACAAGTGAAAAGGAACCGGCAGTAAACAGGGTGTCTCTGAAACATTCAGCCAAGCACAAAACGAGGTCCAATAACATGACGCCATATCTAACCTTTCTGAGTACGAGCGGCGGCAGCGACGGGCCCTGGCTGTGTGAACTACCTTGTATTTCTCATTATGAGTCTGTGATGTGACGTGGTCTTCAGCAGAAATTTGATCTCCAAAAAACTCTTTGCAGAGTTGGCAGTAAAATCCTGCCATCGGGATGAGAAACTCAGACCCTGAAAAAGCGGCAGGAGAACATGTGGTTAATGCTGGCGGCTGTGGGGGCAGTGTACTGAATGGGCAAGGCTGAGGGGCACGGGGCTCAATGCAGCAAATCAACCTCACTCCTAGGGGTCTTCGTAATTCACTGTTTAACTGATAACCAATAACAACAATTTTAAACGATTAACACTCAGTTAAACGGTTAATTCAGAAAATGAATGCTAAAAGTTTGCAGTGTGGTAAACGCACAGAGCATAGTGTAAAGGAAACATACGCTTGGATACATAGCCTAACTCACGAGGGCGTGTCGACACCATTTACAGAACCACTTACAACAACCAAGTACAGAAGCCTACAGGCTACAGCCATATTAGCAGTCTGAGAAAAAAATGAAAGGAGCTAAAGGAGGTACC